AGTTAGATCCAAACTGCAAGAGTTTATACCATTTGCTTGCAACCATAATTGCTGTACAAAAGAACCCATTTTGGTTATTAGATTAGATTCTTTTCGCTGATCTTTGAAGCAAAATGATGTTTGTGCTTGAAAAAATCTCGCAGCAAAAAAGTTGAAATCCTACTACTCCCGAAAACATTCAAACCCCAGTCATGGGGATTAAAAAATAATCGAAAATTTATTGATTTCCATTGGAACTTCAGGCACTGTCCCAGAAATAGGTTGATGGATTGCTTTTCATGTTGTGTCTCTTGTTAGAGACCGTGTCCTGTTTACGATAGCTCTGTCGTGTCCAGCATGAAGGTGGACTTCGACGTCTAAAATCAATCGTTCTCTGATTGATTGAGTGGAAGAACTCGGTTCCTCTTTCCCTCAACGTGTCTGATATAAAGCAGTGGTCCAGCTTTTGGCTCAGATCCAGCCAACTGAGTTGGTTGCAATCAACTCGCTTCTGAAATTACACTGCATCTTTAGGCCGGACTCCAGCGCCCAGTGTTGTACCTCCAGGAGCTCGGCTCACAGCCTACCGGCCTCCTAAGAATTCCTTCTTCAATTTCACGAACAATTAAATTGACGCATTTGCTGGGCACTGCGCTTGCTGTGGTGCTGCGCTGCGTTGTAGCGGTGCAGTGCTGTGGCTCCGGTTCTGTGCTTTGGCTGTGATACTGTGCAGCGGCTGTGGTGTTGCGCTTTAGTGGTGTTGTGTTATGGCTACGGTGCTGTGGCTGTGGTGCTGTGCTGTGGCTACAGTGATGTGTTGTGACTGTAGTGCTGCAATGTAACTGTATGTACGGGGTGCTGTGCTGTAACTGTGGTGCTGTGCTGTGGCTGTTGTGCTGTGCTGTGGCTACAGTGATGTGTTGTGACTGTAGTGCTGCAATGTAACTGTATGTACGGGGTGCTGTGCTGTAACTGCGGTGCTGTGCTGTGGCTGTGGTGCAGTGCTGTGATTTGTGTGCGCAAGCATCCCAGAATCCTCTCAGCTGTTTTCATCTCAACGCTGCGAATATTTTACGGTGAAGAACATTGCACGATCTTGGAAGCTTGTCGATAATTTGAATTTGAGGTGCAAGATAGATTGTGGGGTGAGCGTCAGTCATTACCCCCACGTAAGCAAGATTGGAAATGAAATGAGACTGGTACTGGGAACATATTGCAGTTTAAATTAATAACGAGGTGGTCTTTTAAATCGCAAAATCTATGACATCCAAAATCGTAGATTTCGCCAATAGTTTTTAAGACTAGTTCTCGAACTTTATTATGCTGATGTCCGTATCGTACGGTATATTTTTCGGTAATTTATAGCTATCTATCGGTTTCCTGCTGACTTGGGGTTCTGCCTATCATAACTTCATAATTTTTTTCAATCTATTCCAAGTTAAATTAGAAAACTTCGTGGCTTGGAGCCATCAACATTTATATTCACTGAATCTTTGCTTATATCAACAGTTCTGTGAGTATAAGCTTGCAACCTGAGCACCGCTATATATAGCAGCGAACAGCAGTTATTTCAGAACGAATATTTTGTTCTATATACGCATATACGAGACAGCGTTCCATTGATTTAGGTCATTTATTCACACGGCTCTACATTGCGTTATAGTAGGCCATTAGTAGGCCTATTGCTCAATTGTCTGTGACTCGCAGTGCATATCTAGGGTCGTCAGGTAAGCTATTCACGTGTCGCGCAGCAAACAAATGATAGAAGGATGAAATGATAAGTGCTCCCAAATAAATATTCTTTTTTTTAGAGTGCTCATGAAAGCTGCAATACTGCGCCGTTTTGGCCAATATTTCGTCCATGAACCTGGCGAAGTTTTTTTCAACTTTCGGTCCGGAATGACTCGTAAAACGAAGCAATAAATGACCCATTCAATGATGCAGTAAACATCGTGGTAGTGACCGGCAATTGCAGTGCTACTCTGCTGCTGCCATTTGCGTATGTTTCTGGCTTGTTTACCTGAACGGTCACGAAGAAAGTTCTCCTTTTCAAATGTTTGAAATACTTTATTAATCAAGTGAAGCTAAAATGGAATATGGTTCATTTCTGCAGATGAGTTCATGTCCTCAAATATCGGCCTTATTCTCTTACAAGTTTAAAATTTCCGAATGAAATCTAACTTTTTTTCTTTACTTCTAGTCTCAAACCTATTAAACACGAACGTCCCTTCGCGCATCAAATGATATCGTCTCTTATGAGACGAGAAAAAATATAAGTTGAAAAAATAAATTTCTAAAATATTTATATATATACATTAAACAATTCGGTAAAGAAAACCTGTACGCATATTTCTTTACCGTGCAGGTTTGTATGTAGGCTCTTTGCTCAATTTGGTGTGTGTTCATCGCAGTTTGTTTCTTACGTGGGAATGAAACGATGTTTTGTGTCGCTTATCAATTACTGATTCATTTCAGCATGAAAATTATTTGGTTTTAGAGGATGATTTCGAGAACTGAAAACTCGAAATTTTCAGTTGATGAACTAGCTAAGCGGTCATCCTAACGATGGACAATATATATCTGCATACAAATATCGTCCTAATCAGAGCTAAGCAAATGAGGTATTATCATACAAAGAATATCGTCCTAATTATAGATAACCAAAGTACGCATGTGCACCTCCCTTCTACATATCGTCCTAATTATAACTAACCATAGCACGTATCTGCATACAATTTTGCTTCAACTCGGCCAGATAATTCATTTAAATTTCACGTAGTTCCTCCGACTCGAGCTGTAATTTAATGGATGCAACAACGCACTTGCTATGAGCAGGGGTGCCGGCCTTTGCACCACTAAACTCGACTTTATTTGCTCTGGACCATTAAAAAGCTCTGTTCAAACCAGCGAATCAAAATTAGTGGAACTTTGGATACTTTTCACTAAGCGTTAAATTGGGGGTTAATTTTTTCGCGTGTGTGTTGCGGTGCCAAGTGATTTCAAATTAATTAAAAGTTTAAATTCGAAACATAACAAATGTTTTCATATATCAATTATAGTTGCCGAAACACAATGATATAAGTGGAGCAATTTTTGAGAGTATTTGAGAATGAGTTTCAAGATAATTTCAACATCCCTTTAATTTTTTAAAATATGGCTCATTTTTATTGCAATTATTATCTTCGAAAGAATGTATGAATTATTTTCATTCGTTTTAATGAATTATTAGGAGGTGGGTTTCAATTATTATGAGTAGGTTTCGTTCATTGGTCACGTCTTTACAAGCTACCGTACACGCCCGCATGCAGCACACAAATTAGTTTTTATGAAGGACGAGGATTGCGGTAAAAATCTACGCTGAGTTTTTCCTGGTCCTCAATGCTGTGCAAATCCGATCACAGGTTTTGCAAAGGTTTATCTCCCGCGCCAATTAGGATTGTAGTCAAAAAGTTTCCACAATTAGAGTCAAGTTGATTGCCAATAATTATAGTATGGCAGCTCCACCGAACATTTCTTTTCGGCGCCAATTGTAGCAAGCTGCAAAAATATTATTTAGGCCTCGACCGTATTTGATCAATTCACTACACCTCAGCAAACTGTACTATACTGTTTATACCAACAATGGAAGCCAACTTAGGCAGAGTTGTATCAACATATTATTCCCTTATAACTTATATACTCATAGAGGTTGATACAAGTTACTTCAAGATTTCAATTTGCGTGTTCAGTTGAAGCTTTCAGTTGAGGATGTGGAGGCCGGCAGCGCTGCATCTCCCAGTTTAATCCTCTTCATAATTTCGCCCTCGGGTTGCAGTGAAGTTCCCTCATTCCCTCTTGGATTCTAATAGTAAAAAAGATTATTTACACTGGGAAGATTTTCACTCTTTAGGGCAGAGTAATGTCTTTCAATTTGTTCTTAAAATGTAATCATAAGATTGACGTAGGGAAAGCTTTCATTCCTCAAATAGTATGCTTTGCTGTAAATTCTGCAAAAATAAAATGACATTTTATGTATATTCTTTCCTTTCATTCCTCAACTGGCGTTCCTTTCATTCCTCAAAAAAAACTTTCTATCCTCAATAAATTCTTTAATTCATAATAAATACTTCCATTCCTGAAATAGTATGCTGTGCTGCATATTCTACAAACATAAAATTACAAGGTTGAGCTCGTAATAACAGATATTCAAGTGTGGTACTTTATGAAGATATGGAAGATTATCTCAAATACGTGATGACTCACACTCCACACGCACTTCAATATGAACAAAAAGTAAAATTCAAGGTCACTATGCTACCAACAAATTTAATTAACTGCCGAAAAAAATACTGCATGATTTGCCCTTTAGATATTATTCGATGTCTATTAAAATGGGGCTGTACGCGCGATGCAGACGTTGTATATAACTTTCATTTATATTAACTGCATAGCTTTTCGCGGTCCCAGGGTCTCACTGATCTCAAGTTTTAAGGTTGTCTTCCCGTCTAAATTTTAGCAACTTCTGCACGTCTGCCCCCAAACTTCATCCCAATTCCAGCGATACGAAAGAATATAAATAGTCTCCGAAAGACGGATCTTTCTTCCTGATGCGCTGCGTCTCCTTGAAGGCTTTCCCGGGTTTTGTTTTCGTCAACTGGAAATCTTATAAAATCTGATGAAGTCTCTGACTGAAAACATAGAATGGTCTTTTAAATTTAAATTTTAATTTTACATAACATAACATAGCGATGTCAGCGCTGAAGAGTAGGCCTGATTTGGTCTGTCGCCGATTCATGTACTTTTCGTGTATTTAATTTTCATGCTGCGAGAATTGGCATTGTATTTTGACGTTTTATATTCATTTGTTTTCAGATTAAAGCATGATTTCAGCCGCTACAAATCTAGTTTAGATCTTAGCGTTCACTAGGAGAAAAAAAGCGTGATGTTTTGGCTAATTTCTGCCAAGAATCAGAAAATGTTTTTGCGTGGTATCCACACAAACAATTGAAGCTTTCAACGATTACCATTTTCCAGGTTATTGTGATGCAGTGCAGCGACAGCAGCAACAATGTTGAAGTCCTCGAGTCACAGCCACGTCCTTTTCTTGGTGCTCATCCTCCTGGTCGGCGTGACGTGGTGCTTACCTTCGTCTGTAGGCCCCAAACTTGCCGAGAACCATCAAACAATTTTCCCCACGGCGCCACGCACCGAGGATCCGTTCAATAAACCAATCGAATATGCGCGGACGCTCAGCGCCCCGGATCCCGGGCTTCGGACGCAAGCGGAGTCCGAAAATACGCGTGAGATTCGAGACGCTAAGCTGGAGGGCATTTCTCAAAGCCGTGCTGAACAGACAAACATGGCTGAAGTCGAAAATATGAAATTTTATAGTAGCGTTCGTGGGAGCCGTGAAGCTTCAATCAAGAAGGCATTGGACGATGTTGTGATGAACACCATCGTTCCAGAGGGCAGCACAGACCAACAATTAAACACAGCTTCTGAAATTTATGGCAGCAGTAGTACTTTGAGTCTGACGAGCCAGGCATCAAACGTAGACGTCTCGACAACTGGAGAAGACGTGTTTATTTCATCTGAATATTTGATGGACACGAGGCTGCCGTCTAAAGAGATGATAGATGTGAGCGTGCCGAGGAATTTCACCATAGGATACCTCACAGGATCTGAACGGCTTCCTGACGATCAGGAATACAAGAGGCCCGGACTTCTTATTTCCGGCGCACTCACGCTCGCTCTGGACGAGGTAATTGATTCTTATATTTAGTTTAATTTTTTATTTGTATTTTTTTTCACAATATCCTCATTATTTTTAAATTTTGGTATTCATAATCGATGCAATTTTGTGATATGTGAATTTGACCTATTGGTTTTCAAGTTTTCCTGAAGCTTCCTATATCGTCCAATTAACTCCATTTTTGGCTCATTAGAAACGAAATATTTTATTATTTAATAATTTAAGTTTTTTTCTGCTTTGGATATTTTCAATTTACTTAAAAATTTTGTAAAGCAGAATGAAGGAAGAGTAAAGTTATTTCAACAAACGTTCATGATAATTAAATTTACAATGAAAACCAAAGAATTTAAACCTACCGTTAAATTCAAGTTTTGTGTTGTGATAATTTTTCTGATAATTTTAATGATATAATCGGCCTCAATATAGTGACTATTTAAATAGATATTGAATTATCAGAAACTGCGATAGATAACTCAGATTCTCTATAATTAATCATTGTCATTGATAATTTCTGAGATCGTACAGCAAATTGTAGATGGACCGACTGAAATTGACAGCGACTGGTGAGATGAATAACTAACACCCGCTGATGTGTGGGCGCTATATATTCATCACACTTCACCCATTCTGTGTGAAAGTCTCTGTCTCTGGCAGATCAACAGCAAGCACCCGCTGGTGTGTGGGCGCTATACATTCATCACACTCCACACATTCTCTGTGAATGTCTCTGTCTCTGGCAGATCAACAGCAAGCACCCGCTGGTGGGTGGTCACCGTCTGACGATGCAGGTGGCAGAGACGTACGGACGGGAGCGGCACAGCATCCTGCAGACGGCGCGTCTCTGGACGTCCAACATCTCTGTCTACATCGGCCCCCAAGAGACATGCGTGCACGAGGCTAGGATGGCGGCGGCCTTCGGCCTGCCCATGATATCTTATGTGAGCCTCAGCCTTCTCTGATTATGTTCATATTGGTATTAGGTTTTGCAATGCCATTATTTTAAATTGCTTGCAGTTGTCTTCTATTTTTAAGTTAAGAATTTTAAAAATCTATCGGTCTTGTCTGCATAACAACAATCTTAACTGAAAGATAAAAATATAATGGATTCCAATTTTATTTATTAAGTGGTTCCAATGTTAAGAATGAAAATAATATTATAATTAATATTGAATAATATTATATTGTGCATGAATCTCATTTATGGTAATTTTTCTATTTTGCATGGCCTTTAACACGTTGAGCGCAACACGACCATCCGGTGCTTCGTTTGTAAAATAAAACATAATATCTAAAAGAACCCCAAAATTGGTATTCTTGCCATTCGTAGCACATCGTGTTGTTAATTTAGTATAAAGGCTTGAAATAATAAAAATGTGTTTAAATATTTTATTTAAATACCAGAAAAAGCATATTTTTTATTTTAAATGTGAATGTTCTATTAGTACCTAAACAGAACAGCAGCAGCGGCAATCGGCAGTTACGGGAATCGTTTAATTCAACGTGTTGTATTTAACACTTACGATATCATTATTGCTGGATTAAATTAAAATATTAATATTTATATGAATTGATGTCTTACTATTACTTTCAAGATGGCTGTAATATAACTGTCTGACTTTATATAGAAGAAATTGAGTGTATAGGTCACTAGTGACGCAGTTGTGGCATTGTGAGGTAAAGACCTTTGTGCTGTCAGGTTTTTTCTTGTCTTCGGTAAATATCAACGAGCTGATCCTTGCGTTTTTTGTTGGTGCTCCAATGATACACATTCATGCATGAAACCGGGCTGTCTGAATATCAAATTTATATTGTGAAATTTACGAAGCTGACCTAGCGTGTTATGGAATAGAAGTTACTCCGTATAATTACCCTATTGATAATATGTTACCTGGAAATAGCCGCTTTATTTGGCATCGCTCGGCAACGCATGTTCTTATAGGGACGCAACCTACGGTTACTGAAAACGTATCACGGATACCATTATTGTACATTACCTCCTCAGGGCATGGCATCATGGATACCATTACTGTTTATTACCTCCTCAATGCCTGGTATCATGGATACCATGCCAGTGCACTCTCCCTTCTGTTGACGGTATCATGGATACCATGCCGGTGCACTCTCCCCTCTGTTGACGGTATCATGGATACCCATGCCGGTGCACTCTCCCCTCTGTTGACGGTATCATGGATACCATGCCGGTGCACTCTCCCCTATGTTGACGGTATCATGGATACTATCACTATGTGATACTGTGCATTAGGCAATTAAATAATGAAAACATTATTTTGTTTTGATCGAAATTGCATGTATTAATCAGGTGTTAAATTGTGTCGGTTTATTACCTCAGCATTTCCAGATCTCTTGCTATTTTTGATAACCGTTAATTCAGTTGAATGATTGACGTCATTTGTTTGAATTACTGTATTTACAGCCATAACTGAAAATTTTACTGTTCTCGACTCGACATCAAACTAAATTTTAATTCTACTTTCCAACACAATCTGTGAATAACCCATAACTAAGGTAATTTTATATATTTGCTATCGAAAGCCTTTTATATACTCCCGGAAGAAATTTTTGTTCACTCTGAGACACAAATTAACACATAAGGAGCGCCAGAGCTTTGAGTTCTCAAGTAGTCGTCAAAATGCCAATTTGTGTTAAACTTGAGCAATAAAAAGCGTCTTAAAGTCTTTGTGTGACTGTCGTGTGCGAGAGTGTCGGCCCTTTAAACTTTAAAGCGGGACTACGACAACAGCTCTGAGCCACCGAGCTCCTCTGGATCAACTTGTACTAAATTCATATAATTTTACCCATTGCGTTAAATTTATGCAGCGTGAAAATCTATTTTCCACTACTAAATCATCGATTCTGTGATTGTCATTCAGCGCTGAATGTGAACTCCTTCAGTGAAAGCGACGAAGAACTGTAAGCATAACATTGCTCTACATGCGTGATAGTCAAATAAGAATGAAATATTCCGGTGCTTCAAGAACTTCTGGGAATAACAAAAGCCTCAATTATATTCTTCCTATTCGATTCATCTTGAAAAATACTGTTTGGATACGAGAAAAGTTTGTCTGGTGAGAAAAACAATGCATTGTACGGCATAAATTGGCATTCTAAATTCTCTCAAGTCGTTTAATGCTTCAAAGAATCTGTTTCAATTTCCAATCCCTGTTTGCTCCTGAAAGAACCCTTTTTTTGAGGTAATATAATAGCTTCAGCGATCGAGAAACTTTTCCGCCGAACTTAAGGGCGTGAGTTCTCTCCGCCTACTTGTTTCTCTTTTATTTGTATTTCTTTCTTATATTCTGGCAATTGATTTTTAGGGAGAATAAACATGGTTGTATGCTTTATACATGGTTGTATGCGGTATACAAGGTTATATGCTGTATACAAAGTTGGATGCTGTATACAAGGTTGTATGTTGTATACAAGGTTGTATGTTGTATACAGGGTTGTATGCTGTACGCAAGGTTGTATGCTGTATACATGGTTGTTTACTGTATACAAGGTTGTATGCTGTATACATGGTTGTATGCTGTATGCATGGTTGTATGCTATATACAAGGTTGTATTCTGTAAACAAGGTTGTATGCTGTATACAAAGCTGTATGCTGTATACAAGGTTGTATGCTGTATTCATGGTTGTTTACTGTATACAAGGCTATATGCTGTATACATGGTTGTATGCTGTATGCATGGTTGTATGCTGTATACATATGCTGTATACAAGGTTGTATGCTGTATACAAGGTTGTATGCTGTATGCAAGGTTGCATGCTGTATACAAGGTTGTTTACTGTATACAAGGTTGTATGTTGTATACAAGATTGTATGCTGTATACAAGGTTGGATGCTGTATACAAGCTTGGATTCTATATACAAGGTTGTATGCTGGATACATGGTTGTATGCTGTATACAAGTTTTTTTCTGTATACTAAGTTGTATACATTGATATAAATATTTTCTTAAGCATTCTCATATGATTGATCCTTATTATAGATTGCATTATTGAAGAATATATCAGAGTTGCACGGTGCGTTCAGGGCTCCTGAAGTCCATAACAAATATTGGGACCTGCGCTCAGCTGAGGGCGACTCTGAGAATAGGAATTATTCTGGGGCTTGCAGACAATGCAGGGGTTATTTGCCTCTTATTTAATGCGAGAGAGATTGTTCCAATGTGAACAGAACACGAGAGAAATTGTTTTTATGAGAACAGAACACGAGAGAGATTGTTCCAATGTGAACTGAACACGAACGAGATTGTTCCAATGTGAACAGACCATGAGGGAGATTGTTCCAATGTGAACAGAACACGAGAGATATTGTTTTTATATGAACAGAACACGAGAGAGATTGTTCCAATGTGAACAGAACACGAGAGAGATTGTTTTTATGTGAACAGAACACGAGAGAGATTGTTCCAATGTGAACAGAACACGAGAGAGATTGTTTTTATGTGAACAGAACACGAGAGAGATTGTTCCAATGTGGATTGAACACGAGAGAGATTGTTCTTATGTGACCAGTACACAAGAGAGATTGTTCCAATATGACCAGAACTTAAGAGAGATATTTCAATGTGAAGAGATGTTGATCATGTTATAATGTTTTAATTTCCCTTTATCGAACTCTTTCTTTATTTCTCTTAAATAGAAGTTTCCTTGTTTCTAGCAGAAATATCTAAATTAATATTTTTCCCTGTCACACAAAAATTTAATTTTCAATTTTTCTTCTTGTTTCACGCAACGACGCAGATCTGTGCTGATTGAATTCATTATTCAGCGGAGCGCGTAATGGTTTCATCTCATCCCCGCAGTACTGCACTCACCCGCTGACATCTGACAAGTCGCAGTTCCCGACGTTCGCGCGCACCCGCCCTCCTGACATCCAGATCAGCAAGTCCGTGGCAGCGCTGCTCAGGAGATTTCAGTGGAAGAAGGTAAGCGAATTTTATTTTCCATCCAAAAAGTCTAAAATAGTTTAACGTACTCCAGTTTAAAAACGGAAATAAAATGTGCTGCGACATGCAAAATTTCTAAATTAGTTTCGAATATTGCAGAGGGAGATGATTAATAACTTGGGCTAAGATTGGCAAAAATCTTGGATTAATTTCCCGTATTTGTCAGAGTTTGGGCGATACAGGTAACAGCCTACAGTAGTTTACTGCAGGACGCATGTTCTTCGTTGTCAGGTTGGGAAAAACTATTTGGTTTTGGTGTGAGAAAATTAGATTGAATCATTTGAATGAATCATGTTTGGTGTTATAGTTCGCACATGCGATTTTATCTTAGTTTTTGTTAGCATCGTGTAATTGTGTCTGGTGCTAATATTACTAACAAAAAGTAAGGTAATCATGACGTTTGCATGAAGCTTATCCTCGTTGATACGTTTAAATATAGTTCATTGAATATTTAAGTGAATCACTGTTTAGAATAACAGATATTTTATCTATTCACCTTCAACTGATCATGTATCCAAATATATTCGACCAAAGAATTGCTTTGGTTTAACGTTTTAAGTAATTGAATCGTCGAACTGAGCGATTTATTTTCCTTCAGTTGAAAACTCGCCAGAAAATCTGGGAGTCGCCTAATTTGTTGTGGTGCTCCTTAATTGCCACCCGGAACTGCTGAGGCTCCATGGGGCGGCGGTAATGGATTCACGGTCCACTCTCTCGCGCGAATAATTGATCCTTTCAATTGCAATGGGAACTAATAATGCTAGGGAGCAAATAATGCGTTGGACTTAGGGAGCGAGAATATCTTGGTGGCCGAATATCCTTTATTCATTTAACAAATCTTGGTGACTGTTGAATTGCTGGTTCTCAAAAGCACTTTTCTTGTATATTTCGTTTGCCTGAAGCAAGCGTGTCACCGACATTTTACTTTAGTTCAGTTTTAAAAATAGCTAGAGTTTCAGTTGCGGTGTTGCTCTATAGTGAACAGAAGGAAATGTTTGGTACGTGTATTTTAATTCTGAAGATCCGTGTGGCCTAGCTAGTATACTTGACTATTTTCGTGTTATATTTTCGAAATAAATTTTTTCACTTCTCGATCATACCTTCTGTGCAATCCTAATTTTATGTAGCTATTTTTTACCTTTGTATATTGTTTCGTTTACAGAAACCGATTTTATTAAGAAAAGGAAACAAAAAATCGTGTATTCAAGTCCTTCGACAAACGAATATACGTAACAGTGACTGAATATCATATATTCTTGTATCAAATCTTGGTGGCGAATATCATATATTCATCTATAAAATCTTAGTGCCGAATATCATATATTAATATATCAAATTTTGGTGCCCGAATATCATATATTCATTTATAAAAGTTTGGTGGCCAAATATCATATATTCATCAATCAAAATCTATGCCCGAATATCATATATTAATATATAAAATTTTGGTGCCCGAATATCATATATTCATATTTCAAGTCTTGGTGACCGAATATCATATATTCATATATCGAATTTTGGTGGCCGAATATTACCCTGAGAATAGCGGTTAATTTTTCGAATGAGGCTTCCTGTTACCGTGAACATTTAGTATCCTTAAGAACGTTCATTCTGTTCTTACAAGGAATAAAACAATTTAAATCAACTTGTTTGCTAATTTAAATATTTTTCATGGAGAAGGCTGAAGCAAAGCTTGTCATGAGGATAACTTTTCGTAAGGGTTCATATGAAAAGCAAGGGTTTCTATTGGAGGGATTTTATTGAAAAACGTTTAATTCGTTCTGAAGTTTATGCTGTCACTCCGCCTGTATTACCTGAGGCTTTGTAACTGCGATTTTGTTTACATTCCTGCCTCCTCACTTCTTATTACACTCAATTTTTCTAAAAATATTTCTTCTTTTTATCCTACTGAGAGAACTCTTTTAAACACTTCTCCTGTTGACTTCAACTCTTAGACTCATGACCTCAAAAAGTTACTTGCACCTCATTGCTGTACTAATAACGTCAAGAGGTTACTAGCACCTCATTGCTGTGCACCTGACATCAAGAGGTTACTAGCACCTCATTGCTGTGCACTTGACGTCAAGAGGTTACTAGCACCTCATTGCTGCACGAATAACTTCAAGAGGTTACTAACACCTCATTGCTGCACTAATAACTTCAAGAGGTTACCAGCACCTCATTGTCCTGCGTGTCACGCATGTCTCTGGAGCAGGTAAGCTTCCTGTTCAACGCGTCGCCAGAAGAAGGGTTCGGGCGCGTGGCGGTGACCATCAAGCGCGTGTTGGCATCACGCAACATCAGCGTGGTGGTGCAGGGTGCGTGGCAGGAGACGTATCATCACGGCTACGGCCCCAACCCCTTCATGCAGCTGCTGCGTGACACGCAGAACCACTGCCGCAGTAAGTATAACTTACTTCTGTTTTATTGTTGTAGGGATACCTGAGGTTTGCTGATATTCAGCTGTACTGCCGCTGTCTGTATCATTTGTGTCTCTTGTGTGCTTTCTGAGTATAGTCAGGGTTTAGTTAGTATCACTTGTTGCTGTTTAAGTGGTGATACGTAATTAAGGTTTAATGATAACCAGCTTATTACGGATATTCGGCACCACTGCCGCAGTCTGATGAACTTGCTTCTGTTTTATGTTTTTTAATGATATTTGAGGTTAAGTTGATATTAAATGCAGCTGTTTATGCTTTTGTGGTGAAAGTTAAGGTTAACTAATATTGAGCTCTATACGGATGCTTAGCTGCATTTCCGCAGTCTGTATCACTTGCATCTGTTCTCGCTTTAATTGCATGGCACTTTTCAAGTTCCCTAAGAACACCGTTCTATAAACTGCTGCAGTGTGTACATCAGACAACTTTTCAAGTATCGTTTTCATATTCAGCATTACCAATAGTATGTGTTCAATGCTCATAGTACATATTGTTGTCAGCATTTACATGTGTACAGTATGTATACATACTCGTTATGGTAAATATTCTTGTAGTCAAAGCTCAGGATATATATTACATGGGTCACTATCAAATTTTGTTTTTACTTGATCAATTTGTAGATGTGAAACCAGATATTCATTAGAATAATAACTTTCATAATTTTCTATAGGTGTTCAAACTGCGCATATTTGCCATTAATGCTCTCGAAATTCAGTCTAATGTCATTCTTATTCGTCCTCACCAGCAAGTTACTTTTCTTATCATGACGTAGAATTAAATTCTCATCGTTATCCGGGGATTTCTATGTCACAGCGTCGTGTGTGATGAATTTTGTGATGAATGATGGATGGCCAGGGAGGCCGCGTCATGGTGGGAGCTCATGATTGCATGACTGTCACATTATATTGTTGGAAATTAGTTGCAAATATTATTGTTATATATACATATATATGTATGTAATATTACATGCATAATAATTATTAATTATTATATTTCAATGAGGCACATACTATGTTTCAACGAAATGCCATTACTTACGTTTTATCTTCGAAGTTTCGATTTAACAAATCTGATAATTTAATTATTTTTAAACGAATATGATTGCTCATAGCTAATAAAAGTTTCTGGAATTTTACTTTTAATTAAAAGTAACCCGGGCATCATGATTTCTTAAAGTAAATCAACATCTCTAGAGTCTCACGGGCCGGAATTTCCTTTGCATTTTTTATTTGCGCTAGCCCAGGAAGAATAATACGGGTAATTTGTTATTCGTTGAGTCTCATCAGGTTAAGAATATACAGGATAAATCCCAAAAATTTCCTCCGACTTCAATCGGCCCCGAGAAAAATTTTCAGTCCACCAATATGTTTTGCCCACCAATAAAAAATCGGACTTCATTATTGGACATTAACCTAGGCCATTACTACGAGTTCATCTCTTACAGTTTACTTGGTGCTCGGCCATTACTACGAGTTCATCTCTTACAGTTTACTTGGTGCTCGGCCACTACTACGAGTTCATCTCTTACAGTTTACTTGGTGCTCGGCCACTACTACGAGTTCATCGGCCTCATGACGTTGATGGAGGAGAAAGGCCTCTTCGATGATGGTGAGCGTTTGCTTATTAGTTTTTATTTTTCTACAGTCGGCAGCATTAGAAATTAGCTTGTACATTTTCACCACTGAATTATTTCAATATTAGATTTTAACGCATTGATCTTTTCACTTATGGGGCCGGTGCTCCAATAATATCTTATTTGAAACCCCATACAAATGGATTCTGCACCTGAAACCAGATAAATTTATTGAATTGAAGTCTCTAAAAAAGTTCAATTATTGCAACGCCAGTTGTGTTCGGCTAAACTGACCCAAAACTTGACCACTCTTCAGAAAATTTTCATATAAGTCCTTTTTTTAAATGAAATAATAATAATAAATTCGCAAGATTGTAATTCCAGTCACCAATAGTGATGAATTCCTTCTTAATGACGAAAATCAAATTCCGTTAGAGATAAATTTTGCATTGCAATCTTGTGGAAAAAATCGAAATTCATATACCGTCAACTCAGGCCAAAAGATATAATTGTTAAGCTGAGGACCTCTTTTAATAGCCTTTAGGTAATCTTATTAACTGTACACATCAGGCAGGCGTTGACGACCAATCTTGCTGCGTAAGCTTGCGTCATTAGGCAGCGTAGTTACGCTTGATCGGCTAAACCTAACCCAAATTCGGTAATTTGAATAGCAGTTGCGAATTAGATCCTGTTGATACTTTTCGCGTATTTTCTGAGGAAAATATCAGTGATGAATGCGAGCTAGAAAAAACTGTAGCGTTTCAAAGCTATGAATATGGAAAAATCGCTGAAAGGATTTTCGTTCGAAGAGGGGAGATGGTGCACAAGGGAGACGGTTTTATATTTGCACAACGATCTAAATGTTTAAAATCAATCTTCGAATGAAGCATATAATACTTCATTTCAGACTTATTTAGACAAATTAATTGAAAAATAATATGACTATGTCAGTAAATTACAAATTATAATCATATGACCATATTTACTTGCACAGCTAGAACTCCTGACCGCATCTATGTTTCCACCACAACTTAATTTCCCTTCACAACTGTATTTCTTCCCTCAACTTGATTTCCCCCAAAACATGATTCCCACCCACAGCATGAATTACTCCAAATCTGGATTTCCCTCAAAACGTGATTTCCCCCAAAACTTTATTTTCCCAAAAACTTTATTTCTCCCAAAACTTGTTTCCCCCAAAACCAGATTTCCCCTCACAAACTAGTTGCCCTAAACAACCTCCTAAATCTCCTCCTAATGAGACGCCTGGTTTTTGCCAGAACTTCTCATGGAAATTTTGCGACCCAATTTCGTTCTGTCGAGCCAATTTGCTGGAAAATTTAGCGAGATTCTGCGAAATTTGAAGCTTCATACAAATTTCTCTGAAGAATCGAGCAACAGGTCCCCTGAACACCGAGCTGCAGGTCCTCTTAACACCGAGCTGCAGGTCCCCTTAACACCGAGCTGCAGGTCCCCTTAACACCTGTCTCTTATACACATCTAGATGTGTATAAGAGACAGGTGCGTACCCTTGCTGTGAGTTATGCGTACCCTTGCTGTGAGTTGTGCGTATGTTTGCTGTGAGTTGTGCGTATGTTTGCTGTGAGTTGTGCGTATGTTTGCTGTGAGTTGTGCGTACCCTTGCTGTGAGTTATGCGTACCCTTGCTGTGAGTTGTGCGTATGCTTGCTGTGAGTTGTGCGCATGCTTGCTGTGAGTTGTGCGTACCCTTGCTGTGAGTTGTGCGCATGCTTGCTATGAGTTGTGCGTACCCTTGCTGTGAGTTATGCGTACCCTTGCTGTGAGTTGTGCATATATCATGGCAGATGGACAAGCGAGTGACATAAGTCTGCCAGTAATAAAGATTTATAAATATATCCACAGTTTATTTCAGAGCTAAATTAAAAAGTCTACGGATTTGTTGCCAGTATTTAAGTATCCAAAATTGTACCCAATTGCTATTGTACATCATTGTATATACTATGTCATTGCTATTGTATATCATTATTTATTGTATGCCATTGCGTTTGTACATCATTGTATATTTTATCTCAATGTTTTTTGAATATCATTAAACATGATAATCCTTGCAAACATCGCTTCAAAAATGTTGAATATAGTGATTAACCACGGCTAATATTGCACCCCCCAGGTTCAGCGAGGCCGTTCTTTGGCATCGATTATTGGCGGGCTCAATTCTAGAGGCCTGCTGCTCTGTGTGTTGCTTCAGGAGACCACGGAATTATCAACATTGATATAGTCAAGACATTGAATTTTTTTCTTGTCATAACAGGCGAATACTTCGTGGTGGGAGTATCGTTGCAGCAATACAAGCCTGACAAACCTGGTCTTTATTTACGGGACTTCCTAAACGAACAGACCGACGAGACTACGCAGCGGTCTTATCGTCACTTCATCGGTGAGTGGACGCGAAACTTCTGAGTCAAACTCATCGTAATCATCATACTCTTCATACTCATTATACTCATCATATTGAATTTACTTTTCCTTCAACATAATAGTTGTACTGACTTCATTGATCTTCAATCATCTAAGTTGAACGATTGTTTAGAATGTGGAAGTTCTTCAATCATCTGTACGCTGTCTTAAAAACATTATATTTTATACAGCCATTCTAGGCTTGCAATGCGGTTAAAAGTTTTCATACTGAACAATAAGTGTATTAATAATTATTCCTAGTAGTCAACTATACAAAACAAATGATTTTCTTGAACAATGCATATGAATTCACTTGTTTACTCACCATTTATCATTCATATATGCCAATTTATGTGCTCGACACCCGCTCTCTTATAGCGCTGTCCTCGGACTCGAGCGCCGATTACGCAATATGGAAATGCTCGCTTCGAACGATTTTCTCTTCATAATGTTTTGGTGCTCCGCATTTTCCGAGGGAAATCGAACACGATCGCGACGAAACATTATTGAAATAATTTCGTAAATGTCTGGCATCATTTACGTGGAGCAGCCGTTATCCAATGCTTGAAACAATCATCGGCCAAGCTGCAATCGCTAATTTTCTGATAACTTTTATTATATCGAACTAGATACAATAAAATATTTTATGTAATAAAATCTCTCATTTTTATGATATCGAACTAGAAATAGCAGAGAATAATTTCGAAAGTTTTGAAAAGGAAGTCTATCAATGATCTACGATAACGGCCTACACTGTTAGAAAAAACGGTGAAAAAACGGTCCCACTGGCGTTCTAGTGGCCGGTGGCCCCGTGAAAATAAACTGTTTCGCCGTTTTTATCAGATGTTTTACGGATTTATAGTGTTAAATTAGAATAAAAACGGCGACACGGTGTTTCTTTCACATGCTGACCGGCCATTGAAACGCCGGTATAATACCGTTAACGGTAATTTTTCTAACAGTGTATGGTCAAAAATGAGCGGCAATACTTCAATGGGTGCTCAAGATTGCATTATTTACAATTGCATTGTGTCGTGCAGCAATCATTCTTAGCTCGTAACTAAAACATGAATGCATAAGCTCCTGAAAGTATACATACATAACCTAAAGTACGGAAAGCTCTAAATGAAAATGGAATAACTGATACAATGAAAAATGAATAAATTTATAACATTCCCTAACAATGGTAAATGCTTGGTAGGAACTCATGCAGATTTAACAAATTGATTTACTTAACAATTTATTTGTTAATTAAATTCATTAACTTAGCAGCAACTTGTTTCCTTTGATGAGAGTTGCATGAATCATTTGACTCTAAAGCCCTTTGGAAAAATGGCAATTTTGGTTTTAATTCTATCACAAGAAGTCATTTGATTCATTCGCGTTTTTGGTACGAGATGTCGAAGCATTTGCGAAGTTTATTAGCAATGTAACGTAGGATGTCATCGCATTACTATGAGCTTTAAGTACGAAAGCTTCGGAATAAATTCGGCTCCTCATCCCTCATAATTTTACCCATTGTCTGGTTGCCACACCTTCTGTCACCACACTCCCTGTCACCAGCCCATGTCACCAGCCCCTGTCACCACCCCTCCTGTCACCACACTCCTTGTCACCAACCCCTGTCACCACCGCTCGTGCCACCACATGCACCCTCTGTCACCACCCTTCCTATCACCACCTCCCACAGGAGTACTCCCGTCACCCCCCATGGGGATGGACCAGTTCGCAGAGAAAGTGAACGACTACCTCGAGAAGGCGCCCTTCTGCCACCCCAACGCCCTGGGCAGAATGGGCGGACTTAAGCGGGTCAGTCACACCTACTGAAATAATGTCCCATTATTATTATACTTCTTCATTACATATCTTTATACCTAGTATTTTTTTATTCTTTTTGTACGATACTAAACGCCATCGAATTATTATTATTATATATCTTTTACAACGAGACCGAGTTCTGGTCAAGGCTTTTGTGTTACTGGTTCTTCAACACTTACGAGTAGTTCTGAAGAAACGAGTCAACAGGCAAAGTTACGTTGTCACGCACTTCTTCCTGGATAGATTAGGAATTCTCCTTTAATGCAGTGGTATTACTAGTCCAAGGTGCAGTGGTGCAGTGCTTTAAATAACCTCGGTGCAGTGGTTTAAATAATTCTGTTTTAACTAAATGAAGATTTAGCCTCGGTATCTACAAACTTCTGCACAGATACGAGCGGAGGCGGCGTATCTGTACGACGCCGTGTACCTGTACGCCGATGCCCTGAATGCGACGCTGAAGGCAGGGGGCGACCCGCACGACGGGCAGCTCATCATCGCACACATCCTCGGCAAGACCTACAAGTCTGCCATGGGGTGAGCCTAGACGAGCAGTAACTGACGCAGTCTTGGGCAGTAAAGTCCCACAGTCAGCGGGACTGACGCAGTCTTGGGCAGTAAGTCCCATAGTCAGCGGGACTGACGCAGTCTTGGGCAGTAAGTCCCACAGTCAGCGGGACTGACGCAGTCGTGGGCAGTAAAGTCCCACATTCAGTAGGACTTACGAAATCGTGGGCAGGGAAGTATCTACTGATTATCTTCTATGGAGCTCATCTATTGGTCATTCAGTGGACACCGAGAATTTCGAGACATTTAGTATATGATTTCAATCTTTATAATACGTCATGCCATTCATGGTCATATGTATAGATGATAAATAAGTATACGTCAAGGACATTTGAGTATAAAGGGGTTCTTCCTCCGCACGAATTGTTGGTTTCATGGAACTCACAGTATTGATTTTTAATTTCTTATTTCATGTAAATTGATCTCAGAGAATAAAACAAAGATATTATTCCGACGTCGCATCGCGTATCTTTGAGAACATATTGCGGGGCTATTTCAAATGATGGACCCAATTTAATAAATTCATATTTATCTAAGTATAAATTCAATATGAATAATTTATACATTAATGGAAATAGAAAGAGTCAAATTTGTTACATATTTGAAAAAATAATTATAAAACATTGTTTAAAATATAAATTTTGAGTTCATAAATAAGTACGAATATATTAAATTGGCTCCATCATTTAGAATAACCCTGTATAATTTTAATTATTATATATTAAATTCAAAAAATATTTGAACTGATACGACGTGCGCTCTCTTTATTTATTTTGAAATCAATCAATTTGCTCCGTTCCGCTAACGATGACAAGCGCAACACATTAAATCATAATAAACCATATTTTGGAGCCGTCATAAGCCGTCCTATAAACCATATTTTATGAAGCTTTTTAAACGAGTCCCCCTTTAATTGATTGGAATGAGATCGCGAAGATATTGCAATTTGAAATATGCGTTTAATCGATCTTAATCCAAGTATGCGATCAATTAAATCCAGACGTCGTTTTAACGCGTTTCTCTCTATTAAACGTTCGAATGAGATTATTAAATGTGGATTTGTTGGGATACTATTGAATTGTTTTTAATATTGAACAGTCAAAGCAATTTTCTTGCTAGAAGAACATGGCTACTGTTTCATTAGCCTGTAATTTCGAATTACTATATTGACCAAAAAAATTAATTCCGACATCACCATGTCGCTTTTACGTTTTCTTCACGGTAGGTACATTGTGTTTGTTGTGGATGTTCAACTCAGGTACACATCTTACGTGTGATGTGTCCCTCTCAGGTACACATCTCACATGTCTCCCTCAGGTACACATCTCACATGTCTCCCTCAGGTACACATCTCATATGTCTCCCTCAGGTACATGGTCCACATGGACGACAGTGGGGACGCTGAGGGCAACTATACCCTCATAGGGCGGCGCCCCGACCCCGACCGGCCCGGACAGTTCGGGCTGTACCCCGTCGGCGTCTTCCTCTACAGCCGCGAGAACCACGGACTGCCCGTCAGTTTAGTGATATTTTAACAATTGTTCAATAATGATATATTTGGTGAATAATGATATCTTTGTTGAATAATGATAGCTTTGTTGAATAATGACATCTTTGTTGAATAATGATATCTTTGATGAATAACAATCACCTTGGTGAATAACAATATCATTTATGGAGAGCAATATCATTGGTGATTAAAAACATCACTGGTAAATTACAATATCTTTGGTGAATAACAATATCATTGTTGAATAACAAAGCATTCTTATCAATCGCCTGCAGTGATATTCATTGTCTATAGTGTTATTCAGTGACTACGATGTTATTCATTGACTGCACGGACATGTTGTTCGTGGTTGTGACGTGATGCCGCGCCTCAAGGCAATTACCGTGTCATGTGCTATGAGTTACTATAGATAAACTGCCGAAGTGTAGATCATCCCTCAATATTTCACGAATCTTAAAATTGAAATGAATTTATGAATCTGAAATTTTGACAATCATTTCGTAGTTATCATCAGACTTTAAAAAACGAGTATCAATGTGTTTTCAACGTCTAATTCGACTAATTTGAAAAATAAAATTTTTCATAGTCAGTATAGCAACTTCCGTTGTAAAAAAAGAAAATCAGATAGGCCGTGACATTTAGGTTCGATGACCTAGAAAGAGAGCTTCGAAAGGGATAAAAAAGGAATAGCCTCTTCAGTGCAACTTCCTCTCCTGAAACTCAATCTCGGATCAAGGTTCAAATTTTATTTTTCCTGCCTATAGCCATGGTCGGTAAGGCATCACCAATGGATTGCCGAGGTCCGGAAACCAAGCGAACTATTGCTCATATTGAGACGCGACCGACCGTGATTTTTTCCACCCTTGATTCGCTTTTCAATCTCGGACGGCTTCCGAAAAGCACCGATCCTTCACAAACTAAATTTTTTTCGTCGAGAATTCGCGTGCAACGAAGACTTGACATTTATCCTGGCGTTCCTGGGCCAGAATGAGGCGAAGTTTTACAGTATACATAGTTAACTTTTTGTCTCGACTGTTTGATGATTAGAAATTAAGTTTAATATTACAAGTTGAAAACAGGTTTGTGTGAACTTTATATACGGTGGTGTAAAGTGTCCTAAATTACGCAATAAATTTTAAACTGCCCTAATTTAAGCAACTGCGACTGATCCATCACAAGATCTTCTGGTTTCAAGTCTTGTGCGATCGTTTCTTCACGGAAAAAGTCGTTTTGAAAGTCAAGAAATTTCGTCTTTTAAAATCAACCGCTCCGTGTTCCCGCTTCAAAAAGTGTGCACCCAAGCTTGATGATTGCTGAAAATGATGATTGCAAGCTTCTTTCTTGTTCCAATGTTACAGTTCTTGATGTTGCGCAATTGTTATTCTGGTGGGGTTTCCGGGGGAAGTAAAAAGAAAAGTGTTTGGTAATAAGCAAGTCAGCCGCAATGCATTTGATGGCTGAGCGACCAGAGCATTCTTTAGGGTATATGTCTGTAGGTGGAGCCCATATGGGGCCAGAGAGACAATGTCGCTAGGGTGCAGACTTGCGTCATTTTTGAACTTTTATGCCTGCACGAATTGCGGATTGCCTATTTTTCGGAAACGATATTAATGTACGCGTTTATATGATAATCTTTTTTTTAATTCATTCTATTCATTCGTGTAACTTTTTCTGGTCGTGATAATGAAGTATTGAGAGTTTTTCCAGTAGGCTTCTACGATCCATACGGTCATTCCTGAATTCCTCATGGGGAAAACTGGGGCCTCATTTGGCTTAAATTTCTCCATTTCCCCACTGAAGGGGATGCGGGTTTAGGGGGATAAGGGCTAGGGGAATGAGGGAGAGGACACATCCTCTGCCCATGGGGAATAACAAGATACGGGAGAGCGTCTCAATTGTAGGGAGGGTGACAAGCAAGGGCTCTTTACTGTCGTGCTGAATCGTGTTACGGGGTGTTACGTTATATTGCATCGTGTTGTGGCGTGTTGCGTCATGTTACGGCATTTAGCATCGTGTTGAGTGCTGTTGGGTCATGTTGCGTAATATTGCGTCGTGTTGTGTGATGTCATGTCGGGTTGCGTCGTGTTACTGAGTGTTGCGCGGTATTGCGGTGCATTTCGTGCCCTGTTAAGACGTATTACGTGATGCTACGTCATGTCTCACAATATAAGATGTGTTATGTTACCTGGTGATGCGTTACGTTTTTTAGGTATTTGCGTCTCGTTATGTCGGGGTCGTCACTTAAGGATGAAGCGAGTGTGGAGACTCGGGAGTGTAACATATCACTTGTGTTTAGCTTGCGACGTTTACTTATTAATTGATTTTAGTCAAACAAATCTAGTATAGTAATAACATGAATTCTGAACCTGATGGCAAAATTGATAACTTTTGCTCAAAGCAATGAACATAGTTTAAGTAATAATTTTAATTTTAGTGGAAAGGAGATCTGTATAGAAGCGGGTGCGCTTAAAAAATTCAGTAGGTGGGACTTGGGAGACTGTCTTCACACGAGTACAAAATTACGACGATCTATATTAGACATTCACTAAATTTATCATGATATTCTAATAATTATTTATCATTTAATAGACGTTGGGTCATGCAGCATGATAAACGACATAATACATATGATACGACAGCATCTATTAATTGCATGATAATACAATACATCTATACCATGAGGGTTCTTTTTGCTTCTGTCGGAGTTTTTATTTTTATCGCGAGTAAATGCTAATGAATTGTCAGAAAGAGACTGAAGTTGAGAAACGAGGTTGGAATTTATTTCCAGAGTGAGTCTGCCGAGCGCTTTTCTTTTATCGAAGATACCCGGCGCGTCAGTTTTTCATTTTTGGCATTTATGTTAGTTGCTAAATTGTGCTTAATTTTATGTGTGGTTTTTCGTTAATTGCTAGATTTCGTTTAATTTCATTTGTGGTATTTGTGTGGTTTCTAGATTAAATTCTATGTGATATTTCAGCCTTTTTATAGTTGTCAGTTTATATTTAAAATTTATATGATTGAGAAGCGTAAGAGAAACAATTTTCTGACGCAATTAATAAAGGATTGGCAGGTATTCATTGTTGTCGTGTTTTGCCACAAAATTTCACACTTAATTTCATTTTCTTGTTATTGTAATATTTTTGTAATTAATTTCAGTTAAATCTCCCATGAACGATGTAGTTACACTTGTTACAGTGTAGTTACAATAGTTACAGTGTAGTTCCAATTGTTACAGTGTAGTTATACTTGTTACAGTGTAGTTACAATAGTAACAGTGTAGTTCAAATTGTTACAGTATAGTTACAATAGTAACAGTTTAGTTACAATTGTTATACTGCAGTTTCTATTGTTACAGTGTGGTTACAATTGTTACAAAGTAGTTTCAATTATTACACTGTAGTTACAATCGTTGTAGTGTGGCTCCAATTGTTACAATACAATAGTGTGTAACCCTGCAGTTACAATTGTTACACTGTAGTTACAACCATTTTACAGTGTAGTTATAATTGTTACATTGTAGGGACAATTGTTACAGTGTAGGTACAATTGTTACAGAGTAATTTAAATTGTTACAGAGTAGTTATAATTGTTACAGTATATGTACAATTGTTATTGTGTAGTTTCAATTATTACAATTGTTACAGTGTAGTTACAATCGTTACACTGTAGTTATAATTGTTACAGTATAGTCACAGTTGTTACAGCGTAGATACAATTGTTACTGCGTAGTTAAAATCGTTGCAGTGTAGTTACAATTTTTACAGTGTTGTGACATTTGCTACAGTGTACTTATAATAATATTATTGTCACAGTGTAGTTATAATTGCTACAGTTTAGTTACAATTTTGACCCTGCTGAATAATACAGTGTTCGGCATTCTTTTTTTTTGCCGTTATTCGTGCCGCTAAGTGTCTACTTCACCATCACTAAGATGATACGCCCATTAACGCCGAATATCATAACAGAACAAAAACTTTGTTGTTATAATAATAATAATAATTAATATTATTATTATAATTGGCCTTTCGTAACATGCCCGATCGTTCCAATGTTCCATACTTGAATTTTCGTGCGTCAGACCAAGAAAATAGATGTTGAGTATAACACGTAACTCTTCTCTTGTTGTCAAAACCCAACTCATTTTGCGTTGGTAAAAATGTTAACTTTTGCATGAACTTATTACATAAACTGCAGCTGATAAAAGGAAGTGTAATAAGGTTGCCTTGCGGGAGTTGAAACGCTGCTTTTTTGTTACGAACTATAAAAACCTAAACTAATTTTATTGGTAACCATTATAACTTTGTTTATTGACTCATGACAGAAACTGCAGCTGAGAAAAGAACTATAATAAAGCTGTCGTGCTGGAGTTGAAACGCTACTTATTTTGTTAAAAAAACTCAAACTACTTTTTAATAATAAATATTATAACTTTGATTATTGCCTCATGACAGAAGCTGCATCTGACGGGCACCATAGACTGGCAGCAGGGCAAGCCTCCCATCGACGAGCCGCCATGCGGGTACCAGGGAGCGCGCTGTCGCTGTGAGTTAAATTATTTTTTTAATTATATTTATTTAATATTTCCTATTTGCATTAGAAAATTATTATATTTATATTACTATTATACTATTTTATATTGCTATAATATTTATATTAGAAAAGTATTCATTTGAGTCTGTGATTGTAATAGAAATCATGCAATGAATATCCTGTAGAACGATCAATTTTTTTAGTCTGGAAAAAATGATTGATGATAATCAAAATAACTGAAGGGAAAATATTTTGTTTCTCGGATCATAAGAATTTTTCAATAATATGTGTTGCCATTTGTCTGGGTGATATTTTTAATGGGTTATCACTTGAAATTTTTTAATTACACGATTAGTATTAACTCCACTGAAATGCAGACACTTGTTAGTCGACTAAAATTTCATGAGTTGTACCATAGTCTGGTAATATCCTAATGGATGACTCAATTATTTGAATCGAAACTCTCACTTCTTCGTTGAGCTTCCAACAACGATGATAAGTCTTCCGTATCTCGAACGAAGATATTGAGGATGATGGAATCACAACGCCGGATTAATGTGTATTACAGATTATTAGATATTAGTATCTGATATATATTTTTACACCCTATTGCTCCTATTGACTATAAATCTTGATCAAAAATGGCTTGGTATTTAATCCTACCAATACATCACCTCGTTGAGTGGAAGATAATGAAATACGACGATGGAAAAATAAAAGTAATTGAGTTCAGGACAAATCTATTCCACAGCATGGAGACTTTAAGAAGAGTTTCAAGTATTTATTGCGGGTGATATAAGTATTAGACCTTCTACCATTTAACTGAATGCTGAATTAAAGTTAAATGAATTAGCCCATCGGCTAATGCACCAGCAGATCAGCAGCCTGACTTAATCCCGTTGAAAAGCTCCAGAAAAAGAACTTAAGAAGTTGAATGATCGGCAAAGAAGTTTCCCCGCTGCTCTTAAGTTGACCTGCTTTCTGGGTGAAGAATAGAGTATATTAACCCAAACATTTGTCAAATGTTTGCTATGTTTTAGGGTTTCGATTTTATCTTATTAGGTCCACTGACGGAACAAACTAAAAGCTATTCAAAAATTTCCTCAGCGGTTTTTCAACATCGTAAATTAATTCTAAAATACAATTGTGATGAGTAATCTTCAATGAGAAATTGAGTATTCATTGGATATTGGCAGTGATTTTTTAATGCGGTAAAAAATTCCTTGCTACAATAGAGGCCAATTCTAAACCGGAAACGTAAAAGAAATTTAGGAATTTAAAATTACTGAAAAAGCTTGAGACTTTTGCGCCTCAAGTGGAAACGACAATATAATCATTATAATTCTTCAAAATACGTTGTGCTTTTGTGTGAAAATCAAGAAAATCTTCCCAATAATCAAGAAAATCTTACAGTCGGAACAAATAAGCGACCGAGCAGAATTTCAAATTTCTTGAAACCGGAACCGAGCGTCTGATGCCCTGTTCCGGGACTGACATCAGAATTCAGGAGGACATTCAGACATTCATTGCAGTGTTGAAGACTTGAAGTGCAGGTAGGAATAGCACTGAAGGGCAATCTATGAACATTCATTGCAGTGTTGAAGTGCAGGTAGGAATAGCACTGAAGGGCAATTTATGGACATTCATTGCNAGCGATGGCAGTGGTGCCATTGGAAAGAGCAGAATTCCAGCTTTCAGATGAGCACAAAAACACAAAAACGCCAAAATTCAAGATTTTGGGTAGCAGGTCCCCTTAATACTCAGGTTCATATTTCTTACCCCGCATTTCATACGCAGGTTCACTCATATTTTTTCCCCCGTATTTTAATACTCAGGTTCATATTTCTTACCCCGAATTTCATACGCAGGTTCACTCACATTTCTTCCCCCGTATTTTCATACTAAGATTCACATTTCTTACCCCGCATTTCATACGCAGACTCACTCACATTTATTGCCCCGTATTCTCATACTGATGTTGACATTTCTTACCCCGTATTTCATACGCAGGTTGACTCAAGTTTCTTCTCCCGTATTTCCATACTAAGGTTCACATTTCTTACCCCGCATTTCACGCATGTTCCCTCACATTTCTTCCCCCCGTATTTTCATACTCAGGTTCACATTTCCTCCTCCGTATTTCCGGCAGCCTTTCACACGCATTTCACACGCATGTTCCCTCACATTTCTTCCCCCCGTATTTTCATACTCAGGTTCACATTTTCTCCCCCATATTTCCGGCAGCCATGGCGATGGAGATCGCGGCAGGCGTGGTGGGGGCGCTGCTGGCCCTGGTGCTGGTCGTCGCCTACGTCGTCTACAAGTGAGCAAATGTTTCCGCTACTGAACATTGTGATAAAAATCTGCAGGATTTACGAGCAATTTACAATAAAAGCAGAAAATAAAGGTTCAAATTATATAGAGATTTCTCATCTCTATGTATATATATGAATTATGGGCGGAATGGTGAATGCGATGTAACAAAATATTGTAAAAGGAATATAAAACTGTAATATTGTGAATAATGATTTCGCGCTTGACCAACTCGAAGTGAGATCGACGAATTAGAGTCGGTGGAAGTTTTCTGCTGATGATACTTCTAATGATGCTTCCTGCAGAATTAGGGTATCCTATTGATAATGCTTTCACTTATCTTCCCCTTAATTATAGTAATCTGCTGTTAATGCTTCCACCGATACTTCCTGTGAAATTTAAGTATTCTGCTGATAATACTTCTATTGATGCTTCGCGCGGAATTGGAGTATTTTGATGCTGATACAGCGCATTTAGCTATGGCGTTTTCCATCATTTTGATTCCCTCATTGTTTACACATGTTACGCGCAATAAGAACAAACAGTGCAGGAATGTTCTAACTATCAAAGAATAAAAGGAAAAATAATTATTTAAAAAATTCATCGATTTAAAAGAGAAATTAAAATAGGAAGCTGATCGGCAGTATCGTCGCGTTTCATCATTGCATGCAGCATCTAGCCGTCTAAAAGTAAGCCTGAATTCTATACAGGGTTCGTATCAGCTCCTACTAAATTATTAATTATGGATCATTCGTCGTCTGTTGCAGAACAAGCTTCAGGTTTGAGTTTATTTTTGAAATCATAACATCTGTATTTTGCGATGTTAAATTTATGTTAAAGTTAAGCGTCCAAATTCTTTTTTTTTTGTATATGAGCTCAGCCCCTGGTCGAAATTTTTGCCCATGAGCTGTTGCTCGAGTCTACGAGTTTTGTGTTGAAAGTTGTAGAGTTTGTAACACTTGTCTGTTGATGGCTGCCAGATGCTGCTACTGTTCGATGCCAGGAGGCGGCCTATGGCGCTGGTAAAATGAAACACGTTTGTTGCTTGCAGCGCCCCTCACTCTTTTCACTTCACTTATTTACACTTACCAATAATCCCTTCTTACGCGCCTACTTTGCTCCTCTTCCGAGCTTACAGATTCCATCTCACATGAAGTCCTCTCCCACCAGAAGCAACCCTTGTCGAGCATTTACATTCTTCCATAGATCTGGTTCCCTTAATACCAACATGGCTTCTTCCATTTACTTCAACGAAACTCCTTAAACATTCCTCGACTTATATATATTCTGTTTCTTCGAATATGAACTTCTTTACTGCCTAATTGTCTTTCTATTTGTCCTCATCTCAGTACTCCCCTCCTTACCATGCATCCACCCCTCAAGTGTTCGCCTCTCACAATAATATTTAATATTTTGTGAATTCAATGCAGCCAAATGCTCATTAAACTTGTACAACAACTAATGCCCGGCAAGTCTTTGCAGATGTAATCAATAATATACGTTGACCTTTTTTTCCTTATTGATCCTTGATGGTTCCCTTAATGTTAATTATCCAGTTAATGTTTTCCATCTAATGTAACATGCAATCGTCTAGTTGAATGCAATTCACGATTAAACGGTTCATCTTGCATTGCCTTGTTATTTTATTCTAGTCGAAAAACATCGTTAATCGTATATAGCCTGATTTACGACAACTTTTGATTATCCAAGCACAGTTCATTTATCTCTCCCCCTGCTCATAATATTAATTACCGTCTCCCCCTGTAAACCTTTTATAAACATTTTCTTATAGCGTTTACATTCGCTGTCCCAGCACCGAATTTTACCCCCGTAATTTATTTGCGTGTCCTCCTTGCACCGTATGCAGCAAACTTCCAGTTTATAAATATCACCCGTAAGTTTAAATCCCATAAAAATTCACTTTAGTCCCTGAAATCTGTAAACCACCGTATTATGTACGCCGTATTTTTATTTATGGAATACCCAGTAATTGCGTAGCGACATTATCCCAACTATCGCAACTATATACAATTTAATATTCGTAAGTATCTGCATCGGGAAATGGATATTGTTGCATCAAGAATACATCTCTCTGAAAATTAATAGATTCAAATTTAGTAATTATTCTTAGAAACGTGATAAGAAGTTTGTCCTTTGTCTCACCAATTTCACTGCGTGCCGCGTCTCCGTTGCTGTGTTTTATCTCACAGCTGTGTGATCCGCACAAAACTGTACAAATGCCGTACAAAACTGTACAAATACCTTTGCCGTACAAAATTTCTAGCAAATTCATGTTGTAATACTTTACAAAATTTTCAGTAAGGAGATCACTTGTCAAGCATTTCATGTTATAAGCAAAGGAAGAATTTGTAACAAATTTAATAATACTTGCCTATGATAACAAAAGCAAGTATATTGTCTTTCGTTGGCAGAATGTACTGTAATTTTTAATTGCGGATTTTCATGATTAATAAAATCAAAGAAGTGACAACGTTCGTTGTATTATCAGTACGGAAATTGTAGAGCCATGGACACGCAGCTAGTGGATGTACTCTGCGGTGTACATACACATGACATTATTTGATCGGTTTAAGATTTGCATAATGTTCGAATTCGCGTCCCTAGCAGTGAATAATTAATTTTTTGAGTTGCTATATGTATTTTTAGAGTCGAAGTTGCGTCCCTAGCAGTGAATAATCATTCCTTGCGTTGTTATAGGTAATTTTTAGAGCGATAAAGTGGCAAGTTTGTGGGCAGGAGCTGGCGCTACGAGCAGGAGCTGGACAACGTGCTCTGGAAGATCGACTACCGCGACATCTGCGCCAAGGAGTGGGCCGCTAGTCACCTCGTTCTCAAGATGGCCAAGGTGATGCGCCCAAATGTTTACAATTCGAAAATACACGTTGAAAAAACGGTCAGAACGTCGTTTTAGAGCCGTGAAATAAAATCACGGCCGTGAAAATAAAATCATAGTCCGTGATAATGGTGTTGGCTCCGTGAAATAAAATCATGTTGCTGTTTCTTCTGCGAGTTAAGAAACTAAACCCAAACCATTATAGCCTAATTTCACAGGACAGCCGGCTAACAAAACGCTATTAATAATACAAAGTGATCGCTGTTGTAAGATTTTATATACTATGCAGCAGTTTTTTCTCGTGTGCATAACTTTTGGACCCTTTAGAGTTAAGGTAGTACAAGAGCCGATGAACTTAGAAAAGATTCAAGCCGTAACCGCAATTTAAATCGTCCTGCAATTTATTACGTTCTTTTTATTCATCTTTTATCTCCTCTCCGAGTGATCTTTATCACTCTACCCTCCCACTCTTCCCACTCCACAGAGTGGTCTGTACTCGAGCGCCCGCTGCAGTCAGATCTCCCTGGGCAGCGCGGGCGACGCGGTGAGCACGGCGAGCGGCGGCTGTAGGGGCGGCGCCGCCATGCAGGTCGCCACCTACAAAGGGCGCGTGGTCGCCGTCAAGACGGTCTCCACGCGACACGTCGACATCACCAGGAGTCTTAAGAAGGAACTCAAGCGCGTCAGTTATGATACATCCTTACAGCTTAGGATTATTATTAATTCATTGTTATTATTAGCGGCCAATTCACTGATTATTCATGGATAAATGGCCGTTATTCGGTTCAAAAATGTTGAGCTAATTATTTGAGTTTTTAGTGAAATTGTAACTCCGTGAACCGATAAACTCGTTATTATTATGAATTTCACTTATAATTCAATAATTTTAGACACTTATTATACCAGGTCTCATCGGTGTAAAGTAATTAACGCTTGTGGATTTATTTTGATCATTTACTTCCAACGTTAATTCAATAATTCCACTGTCGCCTCTCCTATTGATGATCGAGATAGTGGTGAACAACTTTAATTTATTAATTTTCCATCTCATATAAATTACAAGAAAGATATTATATCAGGAAGCTTAGAAATCACGAGGAGACTTTACAAGTGCATGCCCGTCTCCTGGTCTTATCCTCCAGTCGTCCCATTAAATGACCGACACAAATCCTGCTCAATTTTTCTTAAAATGTCGGACTCGCGTGTATCTTTGTGAGGCCTTCCTTTTGTGAGCGTCTCATCTTGGTGCAGATGCGGCAATTTGATAATATTGGTTGCAATATTAATAATATATATAAACTTCTCTGTGCAGACGCGGCAATTTGATGATATTGGTTGCAATATTAATAATATATATAAACTTCTCTGTGCAGATGCGGCAATTTGATGATATTGGTTGCAATATTAATAATATATATAAACTTCTCTGTGCAGATGCGGCAATTTGATGATATTGGTTGCAATATTAATAATATATATAAACTTCTCTGTGCAGATGCGGCAATTTGATGATATTGGTTGCAATATTAATAATATATATAAACTTCTCTGTGCAGATGCGGCAATTTGATGATATTGGTTGCAATATTAATAATATATATAAACTTCTCTGTGCAGATGCGGCAATTTGATGATATTGGTTGCAATATTAATAATATATATAAACTTCTCTGTGCAGATGCGGCAATTTGATGATATTGGTTGCAATATTAATAATATATATAAACTTCTCTGTGCAGATGCGGCAATTTGATGATATTGGTTGCAATATTAATAATATATATAAACTTCTCTGTGCAGATGCGGCAATTTGATGATATTGGTTGCAATATTAATAATATATATAAACTTCTCTGTGCAGATGCGGCAATTTGATGATATTGGTTGCAATATTAATAATATATATAAACTTCTCTGTGCAGATGCGGCAATTTGATGATATTGGTTGCAATATTAATAATATATATAAACTTCTCTGTGCAGATGCGGCAATTTGATGATATTGGTTGCAATATTAATAATATATATAAACTTCTCTGTGCAGATGCGGCAATTTGATGATATTGGTTGCAATATTAATAATATATATAAACTTCTCTGTGCAGATGCGGCAATTTGATGATATTGGTTGCAATATTAATAATATATATAAACTTCTCTGTGCAGATGCGGCANACACGGGCAGACCTCACACGGGCACACCTCACACGGGCAGACCTCACACGGGCAGACCTCACACGGGCAGACCTCACACGTGCAGACCTCCTTCGGATTATTGAATCAATCGGATGATATACGAACAACTGAGACATAAGTAATTCCTGCTAAGGACTGAGACGTTAGTTTCATAATTATATACATACGTTATAAATTAAGTTATATGTAATGATATATGATTAATTACGCGAACAATTATATGATTAATTGTTATGTATGGTTAATATAATTGAGTTTTTTATGTGATAAAATATGACAGTAAGTTTCAGCGATTTCGTCAAGTCCATTACTCACGTCTTTATTTCCTTTGAATATAACTCACTGTACCAGGATATCCTGAGTAACCCTGATGTCAAACTGGACGCCATGTTCAACGCATCACTCATCGGCGACATCGTGAATGTAAGTCTACATATTTTATGTACTTTCTTCACGGATGAAAATAGATCATTAGTTCTATTTGTTCATTCATTCATCAAAAAAGTGCAAAATAATTTTAAACTCACGAGGAAAATTCAATCGTCGGAAAAGTCCCTAATCTGAGGTAGCTATATTTTCTTATGAAGCTGCGCTTAATAAATTTTTTGAATTTGTCTCATGCGCGTAAACAATATGCTTAATATGAGTGAGACATTCATTGAAGACACGTTTATGATTATTTTTATGTTATTAATTAATCCTTAACTGAAGATTCGTTTGCTGGCACGAAGCAGCGTGCACAGTTTCTCCGCTCCTCTACGTTAATCACTAAGTTATACGCACGGTATATAATGCACACTAAGTTGTATGTTTACGCACAGTATATAGTACCAAATAACAAGAACTTCAAAACTATATCTGTATTTTCTGCTATGCAATAGAGACCTTGTAGTGTTGAAGGTTCTTAAGAATCTTCAACGAATAATATTGGCTCAATGCCAAGTCATAAAATAAAATTTTTCGTCCCAACGCAGTATTTAAATCCGGTAGACGCCAGACCGCCTTAATGAGGGCATTATCATGCTATTGGATGATGGCATTATCATGCTATTGGATGAGGGCATTATCATGCTATTGGATGAGGGCATTATTATGCTTTATTTATAATTTATTCTCAAATCTCCCAATACTTATATTGAAAATTTGTCTTCTACTCTGTTATTTCTTATGATAATGTCAAGGAAGTTTCTATTAAAAATTGTGAACCTGGAATATGTTTCATGGACCATGAGCCTGAGTACCTCCGCCGCCATTCTCCTTCTTTCGGAGAAATGAGTGAGATTAATTGTCCAAATAGCGATTTACTTATCACAATGATGTGGGTAATCTTGACCCTGTTTTACCCGGCAAATGAAAGTATCAGTGCTGCATCCGTCTTCTGCTCGTGTTGTGAATGAGAAAGTGCATAAGTCACTAATTGAATACTTTGACCCATTGATTTTTATGCGTGCGCCGCTGCTCGTTTCCACATTCACAAAAATTTATCGGTCATATATTCTGAATAATAACAAATTTTCGGCGCGGAGCACTTATACGTCCTTTTCGCGGGCAGAACTAGGTCAAGATGACCCACATAAAGTCAAAAGTACATCGCTACTCGGACAAAGTCTCATTAATATCTTTGTGTGCATGAAGCTTGTATGCAGCAGAGGGTGTACGCCTCACTTGACATGCTGGCCGCTGAACAACACTGGAATTTTTCCAGTACTTCAGCCGCGAGTTTATGGCTCATTTCCAGGCCTGGATCTGCCTGGTCCTTGGCTTATTCCAGCGCCAGGCTCAGATCAAAGTGGCAGCGCGTGAATGAAGGATCCTGAGGCACAATTGTGTCTTAGAAGTGGCAAATTAAAGTTCACTTCTGAAGGAAATCTTTCTTATTTTTTAATAATTAGAGCTGTAACAAATGGAATCATTTCATTTGCGATTTTGCGTTTCCATTGCTTTCATGCTTTTAGGGGCTTATTCTGTAGATGATTGAACGTGCGGCCTACTTGCACTTGTCAGAGCAGGCTGCCTTAACATGACAGAGCAGGCTGCCTGCACTTTACAGAGTAGGCTGCTCGTGCTTGTCAGGTACTTATGCGGCCTGTACCTCGAGTAGGTCAAGTCCAGGATCCACGTACATCACGTTTGTCAATTCTCATCACTAAAGTAATCCTCAGATGCTATAATATAAAGCTCGCTGTCGAGCCTATAGCAGTTGCTGTGCAGACAACTCGAGATAATGTTTGCTTTCATGGAATGCAAAATTAAAATTTACAAGCATATGCAAATTTTAGAGAAAATATTCCTCTAGCATCTGTTAATATCCTACAAAAATATTTGAGAAATTTTTCCTTGTGACTTTACTTATAGACTCGAGTTTTAAAAATCTAATATATAGATGTTCAGATACTTAAGAAAAAATACATAGGAAAGTTTTACTATTAGGTGATGGATTTGATCTTTAAATAAACTGAGTAGCTTGCAAGAAATTCTACGTCTTCGTGCGTGCCGGCATTCACACGGAAGAAATGCATTCATTGCTTCGTGCTGCATTTATGAATCGCTCTAACCGACATTGTGCCATTGTGCTGCACAACGAGCCTGCAGAGTGGAGAGCTCGGAAGAGTGTCTCTTCTTTAGGAGAGGGCTTTTATTCCAGCTCGAATAGGAGAAAAATGAGGAATTTGTTGCTGTTACTTATTACTAATGCAGCGCGCTACAAGTTTGTATTCCTTATACGAGTAACGTGTGGAACACTCTATATTGTAACGTGCCGTTCATAGCATCCTGTAAACATTTATTTTGAAGGAGGATTTCTTTTATTTGTTTATCATTCTTCAACACCATTTATGCTGACGGACGTGAAATCTTGAAATCATTTCTTCATTAAGTAAACAGTTCTTCTGCAATGTTTATCATTTCATACTCCAAAATGTTCTTTCATGACTCAGCGCCATTAAAATTAATGTTTGTTTTCCTTTGAAATTCTCATGCATCAATTAATTTTACAAAGCTCCACTGTACACATTTGAGCTGAGATCCTAATCAACCTGAGCGGATGCCAGTCTCGTCTTGGCTGATTTTTTATTCTTTCATATAACGAATTTCATTTTTCTGCCCCAATCCTCCTAGACCTTGAATACAAAATTTTTCACTCGCGTTTTATTTTGCCGTCTCGCATGAAAGACCTCGGCAGGTTTTGGCAGGCGGTGCTGATGCCATTTTCTATTTTTGCATCATGGAGTTTGGTTATCATGTTACATTTATCCCCTTGAGTACCTTTTTCATTTCCTACCTTACTTAGAACATGCCTAACTTGTTCCTTAAAAAGTTCAGGAGAAGAGAAAATTTCTCAAAAATTTACCATATCTTATCATATAGAAAACGTTTTGGAGTCCACTCCACACTCAGAAATTTAAATTCAATAAAACGTGGTAAAGTGAACAGCCAAATTGACTGATTTTCTCTCTTTTACTGAATTTTCGAACTGACGCTAGCGGTTCCCTGCCTTGCCCAGGGTATGATTTACCTGCACGAGTCCCCGGTGCGGTGCCACGGCAACCTTAAGACCTCCAACTGCCTCGTCGACTCCCGCTGGGTCGTCAAGATCACCGACTTCGGCCTTCACACGTTGAGGTCCCAAGCGCCCTCTTACATCACTTCAGATTTCACTGCCCTCACTCAACAGGAAAGCGCAGGTTTATTTACGACGCATATTTTCCTGTTCCTTTTTTACTTTTCTTCGTGTCTGCTTTTTATGGAGGTTTCATTTCGTAATCAAATGCCAGCCCACGCGTGCACAAGAATTTCGTTTATGAGATTATTTTTTTCTTGTAATGATTGCATAGCTCACGGTTATATATCAAACCATAGGAGTTGAAATATGATGACAGACCGTAAAGCAATGTAATCCGATTCTCTTATCAAAAAATCAGGCTGATTATAGAGACAACATTGTCTGCTTTTGTTCTTGTTTTGATAAATGGTTCGGGGAAATTCTCGCTTTTGATTTCTTCGGTGAAATCTCATCGTAAAGCAACGTAAAAATTGTCGAGAGATTGAACCAAATTAATTTTTGCGCTGCTGTCTTGCCGAACTGACGCATTAATTACTTGAGGTCACAGGTCAGTGACCTGCTAACTGTGAATAGATTAAGCTCTCTCGTCCTGAGTGGAGCAGTTGCGTCTCTAAAAACATTTCTTCTCACTCCAAACTGAGTTTGGAGTGTCATGACAACTCCTCAAACATTTTTTTTTGCTGCAAACTGTGTTTGGAGTGTCATGATGGCTCCTAAAACATTTGCTCATGCTCCAAACGATGTTTGGAGTGTCATGATGGCTCCTAAAACATTTGCTCATGCTCCAAACGATGTTTGGAGTGTCATGATGGCTCCTAAAACATTTCCTCTTGCTCCAAACTGTGTTTGGAGTGTCGTGACGGCTCCTAAAACATTTGCTCTTGCTAAAAACTGAGTTTGGAGTGTCATTACGGCTCCTAAAACATTTGCTGTAAACTTTTAGATCGGTCCAAAAATTTCGCACCGCGTGAAGGAAAAGCTTGAGATCTTGATTTCTCTTGCAAAAATATTTGCTTTGCACAGATTATTGCAGTGTCCACTCAAGCACCCATAACATATTACCGTATTTACCAGTCGTTCTCTCAGCAGTATTTGTCTTCATAAATCGTTGTTAGACATTTCAAAGGTAAACTTTATATATGCGAATTTTATATGTCAAGCATATGTACTTTTTTCTCAGTCTTCAGATAATTTCTAACATTTAGTTGCCAATTCCACGAGTTACCCTCGGTTACTAACCAATACCGCCGGTCACATTCATTTACCTAAGAACCAACACCAGGGGCCACGGCTATAAACTAAAAAAACAGCGTTGGAACACATCCATGCGACAACATTTCTTCTCGCTTCGAGTCACCGACATGTGGAACAGCCTCCCTGATAGTATCGTTGATGCTCCGAGTATGAACATCTTCAAAAACAGACTAGACGAAGCTATGCAGGAGCATATGTTCAGTCTTAAAAAGTCCAGCAAATTACGGACCAGGCAATAAGTCCAGCAGCTATCTCAATCAATCGTCAGTTATGAAAAAATCGGGTTCCAAAGGCCGGATCCCTTGTGAATCAAGTCACGAAAAGTTCAAGAATCGGCAACTGGCCATGGGCCTATTTCTTCAACGCCGACACTTCTATTCTATTCTAATACCACCAGTGACCTCCCGATACCTATCAATACCACTAGTTACCTTTATAGACCTACAAATGCAATTAATTACCTTCAGTTACCTATCAATGCCACTAGTTACCTATCATTACCACTAGTTACCTATCATTACCACTAGTTACCTATCATTACCACTAGTTACCTATCATTACCACTAGTTACCTATCATTACCACTAGTTACCTTCAATTACCTACTAATGCCACTAGTTACCTACCATTACCACTAGTTGCATTCAGTTACCTATCATTACCACTAATTACCTTCAGTTACCTATCAATGCCACCAGTTACCTATCATTACCACTAGTTACCTGTCAATACCACTAATTACCTTCAGTTACCTCTCAATACCACTAGTTACCTTCAGTTACCTATCAATACCACTAGTTACCTCCAGTTACCTATAATTACCACTAGTTGCCTTCAGTTACCTATAATTACCACTAGTTACCTTCAGTTACCTGCCAGTACCACTAGTTACATCCAGTTACCTATAATTACCACTAGATACCTGCGGCAATAACACTAGTTACCTCCAGTTACCCATTACCACTAGTTACCTACCAATACCTCTAGTTACCTTCAGTTACTCACCAATACCACTGGATATTCCAGTTATCTACCATTACCACTAGTTGCCTTCAGTTACCTATCAATACCACTAGTTACCTACCATTACCACTAGTTACCAGTTAGGCACTAGTAACCCCCTATCCCCCAGCGCTGCTGTACCGCGCCCCCGAGCTGCTGAGGGAGGGGCTGGCGGCCTCCCCCGAGGGCTCCCCCAAGGGCGACGTCTACTCCTTCGCCATCATCCTCTACGAGGTGGGAGCATCTACGCGTCGGTGGATTAGTGATATCATATCTACGCGTCGGTAGATTAGTGATGTCATGTCTACGCGTCGGTAGATTAGTGATGTCATGTCTACGCGTCGGTAGATTAGTGATGTCATATCTACGCGTCGGTAGATTAGTGATGTCATATCTACGCGTCGGTAGATTAGTGTGGTGTCATATCTACGCGTCGGTAGATTAGTGATGTCATGTCTACGCGTCGGTAGATTTATGATGTCATATCTACGCGTCGGTAGATTAGTGATGTCATGTCTACGCGTCGGTAGCTTAGTGATGTCATGTCTACGCGTCGGTAGATTAGTGATGTCATATCTACGCGGTCGGTAGATTAGTGTGGTGTCATATCTACGCATCGGTAGATTAGTGTGATGTCATGTCTATGCGTCAGTAGATTAGTGATGTCATATCTGTCTCTTATACACATCTAGATGTGTATAAGAGACAGGGCCAGGAGGACCGTACAGGTGACCGCAGGCCAGGGGACCGTACAGGTGACCGCAGGCCGGGGGGACCGTACAGGTGACCGTTATAAGATTTGAAATATTTGCTGGCAATTTTTATGCGCTTATTATCGTCTAGACAAATTTTCGGAAATTAATCATTATATATTCAAACTTAATAAAATTCCTTCTTCTCAACAAAATTGTTCGCTGTTCGTTCTTCTTTGCAGCCTTTCATCTTTCCATTATACATCAGAGTGTTAATTATCCATCAACTACTGAAATTCCTTCGATACGAAGGAATTCATCCTTCAGTCTTGTTTTTCTCATGAACTTATAATTTCAGGGGCCATACTTAAAAAACTCGCTAAGTGAACGTAAGTACTTACGCTCTATTTTCTTGTCGATGATTGGTAGATTTTGCTTGAAAGGCCGTCAATGATTGGCTGATGAACTTACGATCTCTTAACTTTTTTTGAAACTATGGCCCTAGTCCCCTTCTTAAAGTATTAACTGAATTTCTTTGATACGAAGAAATACATCCTTCAATCTTAACTTTCTTATGAACTCATAAGTTCAGTTCTCTTCTTAAATTAATTGAAATTTCGTGCCCCGGGGGGGATGCAGGCCGGGGATGGGGGGCATGGAGGGGTGCCTGGAGTGCGTGCGCGCGGTGCTGCGGGACTGCTGGGCCGAGAGCCCTGACGACAGGCCGGACTTCCGCGTCGTGCGCACACGACTGCGCCCTATGAGGAAGGGCATGTGAGTAGTGAAGAGCGTGTGAGTAGTGAAGGACGTGTGAGTAGTGAAGGGCATGTGAGTAGTGAAGGGCGTGTGAGTAGTGAAGGGCATGTGAGTAGTGAAGGGCATGTGAGTAGTGAGTTAAGGGCATACGAACAGTGGTAGACTAAGTGAGAAATGTAACGTAGTTGCGGATAAATTAGTTAGTTGAAAGTGTTAAGTATCGGTGTGTCTGTTATTTCGTACGTTTCTCCAGGAAGTCGAATATCTTCGACAACATGCTGGCGCTGATGGAACAGTACGCCATCGATCTGGAGGCGCTCGTGTCTGACAGAACGCAGCAGCTCGACGAAGAGAAGAAAAAAACAGGTAGAGTTCATGATGAATAGTGAGTAGATATTTTATGAGAAACCAAAGAGCCGTAAATTATCTGTTATTTTTTATATCGAGTAATATAGAAAGTTTTTTCGTGTGTAATTCAACATTTTCCCCACTCGTTTCGAATTACCATGAATCAATGAAACTGTTATGAAATTCTCATACTTTATCAGCTATGAAATAAACTTACAAATATGTTACTGAGCAACTATATCATTTCATGTTTTGTAAGCAAGTTGTATTCATGCCAAGCACGGTTTTCATCTACCTTGACATCACCCTGTTCATGCCTAGCACCATATCGAACCCGGTAGAAGTCTGGTAGCTACTTCAAACTATCGTCAGTCATGAAAAGATCCGGTCAAATGATACGATTTTAGATCTTCTGTGAACAAGGCACGAAAAGGAAAAGAATTGGCGACAGGCCACATCAGGCCTACAATTCAGCGCCGAGATTAATATGTTATGTTATGTGTTATGTTATGTTATGTTGTGTTATGCTATGTTATGTTATGTTATGTTATGTCATGTCGCCGTACAGAGGCGCTGCTCTTCAAGATGCTGCCGCGGTCGGTAGCAGAGCAGCTGCGGCGCGGTAACCCCGTGGAGGCGGAGCACTACGACAGCGTCACCATCTACTTCAGCGACATCGTCGGCTTCACGCAACTCTCCGCCACCAGCACCGCGCTCGAAGTCAGGCCTGCTATTCTAATTACATATAATCCTTGCAAATGACGCTGAAAAAGCGTTAATAATAATTAATATAATTAATTTCTTTGAAATAATGTTGATCACGTGTTGATTTCTTTGGAAAAAATGTTGATCATGCGTTAATTTCTTTGAAATAATGCTGGACACGCGTTGATTTCGTTCCAGTAACTTTGATCGGGAGTTAATTTCGTTGCAACAATGTTTTATTTGGGCCGTTACGTACGTGTACTTAGACGATTTTCAAAGTTCGGCCCCAACTGCTGACTTTGATACAGACACAACACGACGCAGTGAACTAAGAATGACATACATTTGCTAGTTAAAAAACAATTCAAATGACAATTTTTTAAAGATATTGTATATGCACCATATATATGCACCTACAAAAAAGTATTTTAGAACTCGATTCCAGCAGAACGCGATGAAATATTTATCTCTACTGAATGCATCTTGTCATCGCAAACCACTTCAGACGAGATCGATGCAAGTGTTTTTTTTTTGTGCTGACGTACTTGGTATTTACTGAGCCATGGCACCGTCGGTCTGCCTAAATGTTGTTCAAATCATGTGTTATCTCAAATTATTCAACAGCATTTAACTCAGCTCACTCAAAGCCCTGCTTTACCTCAAGTTAATTTAGCTAGTCTAAAAAAAACTTTACCTTAGTGGTGATTTTTTTTATTAGTGATTATTTAATCTGAATATGACTATAGAATAATCGTTATCGGAAATAATTGTGAGTTAAATATGAGACTAATTAACCCGCGACTTTTGAGGCTCTGTTAATGAACCGAGAGCTCGTGACCACCTGGCATTTACGAAGTAAAATCTTTAACAACTATATTATTATTCCATTTAACTGACTTTAATTCAATCAAAGAACCTTAATTGCCTTGAAGAGCTAATTTCGCGTGCCACGCTCGACATCAACCAAACTCATCATTAAAATTAAATTTATTGTATCCAGTCTGTGCATAATATCTGCTGCCAAGGTGAACGATGCTCACTACCTTAAAAAAAAACAAAGATCGCTCAGAGAAATGAATGGATAAATTCTCCAAATAGTGACGATTTTTTTTGTCTGTGTGTAGGTAGATCAACTTGGCCCCGATTGACCATATTGTATCAGTATAAAAAAGGTATCAGTGCTACATGCAGAAATCGTGTTAATTTTTGGACAATTTTTCCATTCATTTTCCTGAGCAAGACGTGCCCCCAGTTGAATGGACTTTAATGCCGTGGTAGCTTGTCCACCGTTTGACGCGCGTTTGCACACACCAGCCCAAGCTTCACTATTTATTTCCTCGCTCCATTGAAGGGACTTGCAAATGAAGCCTCAGGCTTTGCAGTCGCGTTGACGCGGGGACAAGGGACGTGATTAATATGAAGCTTGCAATTCGGGTGCAGTGGAATTGCCCTGCCACTTGATGTTTATAATAAAAGTGTGAGGAAGACTCATTCAAATACGGAATCTATCCAGCCTGTTCTGAGTGGCTGCCGTAGAAAATTCAAATTTACCGGAAAATAATTGATATTTAAATAATACTGCAACATTTACAGATAACGGCCGCATTGTTCCAGAAATTTTGCAGATGTAAATGGCTTAATGGTTTGACAAAATGCTTTTGTTTGCTTTACTAAACTAACTTTTAATTTATTTGGCTTAGTTTTTGCGAAAGTTTTGCCGATGGCTTTTCTTTTACTCTGAATAAATTCATCTTCAGTGTGATGAAGTTTTCAAATTTTAATTTTCCTTATTGTTCTCATCTGCAATAAGTGAGTTTAAAATAATTTTCTAAACATTTCTCGTCAATGCAGCTGGTGTGTAGCGGCATGCTCTTGTGAAGGCAGGTGTGCTGGAAAATCAATTGATATTCATCAATTTTGTGCAGATTGTTGACTTTCTGAACGACTTGTACACCTGCTTTGACGCCATCGTTGGCAACTTCGACGTCTACAAAGTGGAAACCATCGGTGATGCCTACATGGTGGTGAGTGGTGCATGGTATTAAATACTCAATAAAGTGTTAACCATCGGAGATGCCTACATGGTGGTGAGTGGTGCATGGTATTAAATACTCAATAAAGTGTTAACCATCGGAGGTGCCTATATGGTGGTGAGTGGTGCATGGTATTAAATACTCAATAAAGTGTTAACCATCGGAGATGCCTACATGGTGGTGAGTGGTGCATGGTATTAAATACTCTACAAAGTGGAAACCATCGGTGATCCCTATACATGGTGGTGAGTGGTGCATGGTATTAAATACTTTACAAAGTAGAAACCATCGGCGATGCCTACCTGATGGTGAGTAGTAATTGGTACTGAATACCCAGGCGTGCATGCCTGGTCTCTTCATTAAAAATATTATTTTGGCTTATCGATTTTGTTGTTAAGTCCATATCTTAGATAAATTTGCTACGATTGTGTAAAATTGGGACGTAAATGTATTTGCTACACACTGTAAAATAACTATGTACTAGCTAAGCAAAGATTCAATAACATGATTTACGTCTTCTGCAAATGACATAACCATTGCTGTGAGCTCTGGTATGGCATAACCATTGCTGTGAGCATTGATATGATACGTATAACCAATGCTGTGTGTATTATTTTCTATTATTTAATCCCACGCGTCCATGAAGCGTTGGCGTCGGGATGAATCATCGCCCCAGAGTTACCCTCTAAATTGAGACGAAAGCAACACCAAGATGATTGATCCATGCACGGGCAAATTCTCGAACCCTTGATTGCGTTGTATGAGATTCATGGACTTTTTTATGAATGAGATAATTTACAGTTTAATAAATGCGGTTCATTCACGGTTTTAGGTATACGATTCATTCAATTTTTTTTTGTGAATGCGATAAACTTAGTTTTTTATGAATTAGTACCATTAAAGATTTTACAAATGAGTAGAATTCAAGGTTTTTTGAATGCAATTCATTCAAGGTTTTATGAGCCTTCAATGGTTTATGAACCTATTCAAGGTTTTATGAAAGCGATTCATACACTGTCTATGAATGCGATTCTTCCAATGTTATATGAATAAGCATCATTGAAGCTTTTACGAATGAGTGTCATCCAAGGTTTTATGAATGAGATTCGTCCGCAGTTCAATATGAATGCGATATATTCACGGTTTAATTAATGCGATACATTCACAGTTTAATTAATGCGATACATTCACAGTTTAATTAATGCGATACATTCAGTTTAATTAATGCGATACATTCACAGTTTAATTAATGAGATTCGTCCGCAGTTTAATGAATGCAATATATTCACGGTTTAATGAAGATGTGTCCGCTAAGGTGAGCGGTGCCCCGCTACGCAACGGTCTCCGTCACGCTAGCGAGGTCGCTGGCATGTCGCTCACGCTGCTCGACGCCATCAGGAAGTTCAAAATACGACACCGCCCCAGCGACACGCTCATGCTTAGGATCGGTCTTCATTCTGGTTAGTTATTATTATCTTCTATTGGAAGATCGTTACTGGTTGTTATAAAAGAATAGTGTGTCGTATTCGTGTCTTTCCTCATGTTTCTTTCGCGGTAAAGAGTTTTATGATGAATTTTTCGTTATGTTTGAAAGATCGATGCACCAATTAACTCATTTCAATTTTAGTTTAATTCATCATCTTTCCTCCCGGATGAGACGTGTCACTAAATTGAATATATGGGTGACCATGAAGTGCCTCATTGAAACATCAATGCCTTCAATTAACTCATTTAGACCTAAGTAGAATTTATAACCTATCCTCAAGCGCGAGACGTACCATCAATTTGAACATATGAGTCACCAAGACGTGCCGCACACGTGCCATACGTGCACCAAATAAAATATGTGAGCGAAAAATATGTGCTACAGGTCCGGTGTGCGCGGGCGTGGTGGGGCAGAAGATGCCGCGCTATTGTCTCTTCGGCGACACCGTCAACACCGCCAGCAGGATGGAGTCCTCCGGCCAACGTAATATCAACTCAGCCCGAACAAATTTTTATTTTGAAAACTTTTTTTTTCCAATTTTAATACGTCTGTGTGGAGTTTTTGTTTTTTATTTTTGTATTAATAATGGAAAGATTAACAATTTGCATTGCAATATCCGTTGATTCTGTGCATATATGATGATGATGTGTAATAATTGGGGATAAAGGTGAGTGATTAACCCAGTTATAAAAACTGTGCTGATAAGTTATCTTTTCACACTGCTAATGGTGTAAAATAAAAAGATTACGAACGAGTTTTAGGGAAATTTCGGAACCTATTTTATTAATTTGATCTTATTTTTCCAGCTCTCCGGATCCACTGCTCTGAACCAGTGCGCAATATTCTCACTGATTTGAAAGGCTTTATCCTGGAGAAGAGGGGATCCATACCAATCAAAGGGAAAGGCTGCATGACCACATATTGGCTCCTGGGTCAGTACTGCGCCTTTCGCGAGCTTTAAAAAAATGACATTTTTCTGTGAAAATCTAAAGAAATTGCGAGAACATATCTTCTGTGACTAACAATTTTAATGGCAAACCTTTCATTTGGGGCAAAATTGTATCATTTTTATGTATATGTGTCAACCATGAAATTTCTATTTATAATTAAGTAAACTTTTAATTGAGGGATATATATTCCTTCTGGCCGCAACCAACGACCATATTCGTCTTTGAAAAATGTCATGTTTCCGTCCTGGTTGATTTTCCCAGGCAAATCGACTGAGCCTCAGGCTGTGATTAAGATGAGGAGGAATCCTACCGGCACCGAAAGCTGCGATAAAAGCCCTACGAAGAAGCTGGCCACAAAGGACTCTTGCATGAGCTTCTTGGAGGTCAAGGTTGACGCGACAGAACTGAAAGCCACCAGGAACTTAACTCAGGAGGATCCGAAGATGAAACAGGAGTCTTCCGGTTCCAATATCCATAACGATGATGCGCTGGATCTGCGCTGCAGAGAACAGGATTTGCTGCAGCCGCTCAGGGACGTGTCATTCGAGGAGACCTCCAATAAAGATTGTCCATGTCATCCTTCAGAAGGACTACAGAATGTTCCGGCGGGCGATGCCTCGGATGATTGTGTTTATTCAAAGAAAACTACTGCTGTTCCCATGGTCGAGAAAGATGATGCCGAACATGATCAAAATGCAAAGATATCAAAATGTCCAGACAAAGAATCAAATTATCAATTAGTAACTCGTGCCTCGGCTAGGAAATATTTACGTGAAATGCTTTATTTTTCTAATGAAAAACGGAACTCGTGTCCTTGTATCCAATTTGTAGGCAATGATCAAATTAGTTGTAAACTTTACCAATCACCTCAAAAACTGTACAATAATTTGCTCAAATACTCTGAAAAAGAAAATTTAAAGGAAAGAAAATCGGAAATTGCTCTGGAAACCGAAAATATTTTAGAAAAGCCTATTTCTACTCTAAATTTTGAAACAAGAGTTGCGAATCACAACGGGTCTCTCAAGACGAAGCCTGACTTTGTCGTAGGCCAGACCACTAAATCACGTATGCCAAGATGTTCATTTCGAGGAACCGCTTGCTTGAAGACCAAACTCGAGCTCTGGGAACCAAATGAGTGTACGTACGACAAGCTTGCGTCGGAACTCAAGCCTCTGATCGGCTCGCGTAATGATAAAGTAAGACCAACAAGACTTGCCAGACGCAATTCTGACCCTGAGACTTTGGTTTAGGCTTTGGCAACTAGTCATGTACGCAACCTAATTTTCTGTCGCTATATAGTTGCTATTATGCGCACGCTGGATTAAGTCTCGTTTTAATTATTGGTGTTGGTTTAATTGAACCAAGCATAATATATTTCTATGCTACGATACTTTTTCCGATGAGCACATTACAATGATAGTTTTATGTTATGTTGTCATGGGACCTCGTGAAACTATTTATTGTTATACCATACAGCAGTAGCATCTTAAACATCTAATAAAAACGTAATAAACATCTTAATAATCTATAAAGACCCCAACGAACGATGGGATCTAAAATTACTTTTGTCATTGAGTTACAAGAAAAAATACTTGATACTTGCAACAAGATTAAATCGAAAATGAATGAAGGCCGCTGTTAGAAAATTACAAGTCGCATTCTTCAATTTTTCCATAGATCTATCATCCGCTTCTTAGTATTCCAGAGCTTTCAGTGAGTATTGTCAGCGCCAGAGCTGTACATTCTAATGAAGTAACATTCTTGTGACGCGATACGTACCAAATTGAGCTTTGAACGAAACCCTTTGTAGGAAAGTTGAGACGATCGAAAAATTATAGAAGAAATAATGAAATTATAGCAAGAGTTCAATTGTTCTATCCGATAATGTTTAAATTTCCACGGGAGTCAGTGTCATGAATCATATCACATGCATTACTTTTTTAGAAGTGACTTTTACCTCCAAGCAACACTCAGTACAAGCGAGGGAGAAAGTAGCGATGGTGTTTTGTAGAACATGATTGTACAACCTATTTCTACAAATAACATTGGCGTGTATAGGAATCCGTATTACTTAACCGTATTCATTTATCTATAAAATTGCGTATGTTTGTCCGGTGCCATGCACAATTAATTACAAAATAATATAAGTAAAACCGCTTTTGTTTGGTAATTACACAGCGTTGGCATTTAATTATATTAAAATGCCAACAATGGTAATATAATTACATGAGCTTCGTGGCAGATACAGCGGAATTGTAGTTAAAGAAATTTAAAATTTTAAAAAAGGGACTGGGATTTTTATTATTTTCCCTGTAAATTATTAGATGGATAAGGAAATGTTGCACGTTTGTCATTTGATTAATAGTAACAGGAAGTTGTTTTATATTAAAATGACGTTATATAGATAAATTATCAAATATTTTCGAATATTAGACGCTAGTGAATCAAGTCGGTTGATCAATCGTTTATAAAAATTATGTCTTTCTTCGGCGTCCACTCTATAAAATGCGTCTTTGAAGTTATCATTGCAAGTTTTTATTTGAAAACTTGAGCATTTTCCAGAATAGATTTAAGCCGAATTATAATAGCCAATGCTGATGCTCTGTTGTCGAGTAGATTCCATTAATGCAATACAAAATTAACTTGCAGTTTCAGAAGCAACGCAGGTTACATTATTATAATTTTAGATATTTTTAACCTTCAAGCTAAAGTAGCTAACACGTTTATATATGCTGGCAGGTTATGATTTCTAGTCACTTAAAACTTCATAGTCAACAGTGCTACCAAAGATTACATACAGTTAAAACGATATTGTAACGACCGTATAGTCAAGACTGTATTGTAACGACCGTACAGTCAAGACTGTATTGTAACGACCGTACATTCAAGACTGTATTGTAACGGCCGTACAGTAGAGACTATTGTAACGGCCGTACAGTCGAGACTGTATTGCAACGACCGTACAGTCGAGACTGTATTGTAACGACCGGCTGCATCACAGATATTTCAACATTGTTGTGATCCCTGTTGATATTCTTCCATAGAGAGTAAGAATAACTTTGGGAATTATGGACCGCTTATAAATAAATGAATTGGATAATAAATTGAACCGCTTATAAATAAATGAGAACGTGAAGCCTAACGCCGGAGTTTTCTTTTTCTTGATGTGAAATTCGAAGGCACGCCAAATGAAATAAATAATGGAACAGGATTGGGGGCTGTATAATTGAGATATTCTTGATTGATAGCCGGTATAATTGAGGAGTGACTGATTGAGAACTGAATAATTGAGATTTACATTATTGAGAACTGGATGATAGTGAAGTGGCTGAATAAAAACTGAATGGTAGAGAACTAGGTGACTGAGAACTGGGTGACTGAGACTGGATGATTTAAAAGTGCATGGTTGAGAAAAGGATGATTGTATTCTGAATGTTTGAGATCTGGATGATTGATAACAGAATGATTAGGCTGTGATACCGGCGCACATATACATGGCTCTATGTAATATAGATAATTGTAATACGATATTCATATAATTTACCATATTTGGCATTTGGTAAGCAAATGTCTATAAATAATGAGACTCGGTCATATATCAACACGATATAGAGTATAAACGATGCACTGATGACGTCAATTCAATTTTTAAGGGGGAACATGTACGTTAAAAATCGAACATTTTGGCTTCTCCGGTTTCTTGGCTCATTATGTAGCTGCTGAAAAGGCGCGTCTAACGCAGCAAACCGCATATATGTGCGTGCTCGAGTTTATTCGTGTAGCAATATCAAAAATATATGAAATGAACATTTTTTAACAATATGTAAAAGATTTCTTTAAATTAAATGTGTATTAATGGGTCATTATTCACGTTAATTACTAAGTGTTTGCACTCGTTTGGAAGCCACAAACGAGACGCGTTCAACAAAGCCAATGCCATGGATGTAAATGCAATAATTTTTGCGCAAGGTTGGTTTGAACTTTTATAAAAATGACCATTTTATAACAATATTTACAAATTTTCATTTAAAAAATGGTATTTATAGATCATTATTCTCATTAATTGCAAAGTGTCTGCACTCGTTTGAAAGCTACAAACGATGCGCGTTCAAGTAAGCAAATACTAAGGATGCAACGTATTTTGCGTTAGATCTTTTTGATTTTATATAAAATGAACATTTTTATAAATATATAATCATAAAAATTCACATTTATAGCTTACAATTCACGTTAAACTGGACACGAATAAGTCTAGAGACGCGTGCTGGTAGATACCCTATAAATGTAATTAATGGGCACTGAGAAGTTTGGGCTACAATACTGTTGGGGGACTATCTCTTATTAGCCCTTTAGCGGGCAAGCATTGAAATATCCAGAAATTAAAATTTCAGAAACCATTTCAAGAAAGTAAGAAGTATTATACAATATATTTATTTCTATGAATTTTTGCAAATTTTGCCTATTGAAGGTTTAAATCGCACTTGAAGAATTCAATAAATGCGATAGGTACATAATAATTTTTCTTTATAATCAAAATTCAGTTTACGCAAATGAAAAATTAGAAACATAAAAATTTAATTTAATTAAATTTAATCAAGTTGCCAAAATAAATAAATATATATATTGATACTTCCACCTTATGAAGAAAATGCGGAAAGAGCGTCAATTCCATTGTCCGAGTCAAAACCTTCATTTAAATGCTCATATTTCAATTTGTGGACTTTGCAGCTGGTGATGCTATAGATAGAACGATGGTCAGATAATTTGGGATTGACTGAGGCGTTATAAGGATGCCTCAAAAACAAACAGGAAGCCGTGGTGAGGCTTTTTGTGACGCGATTTCAAGTGATCATATATGGTAACTTACCCGTGAAAGGGTTAAACTCACGTCTCCCCGACACATAGCACGTGATCGTTCTTAAAGACTTTAATCAACTTTTCAAGGCCAACGATTTTCTTCAATGAATAAACAATTGCAAGTAAATATAATTAACAATGAATAAATAGAAACAAAACACAACAAACCTAACACCCTAATCCTAACCTGACGTTAACCAGAGCTTTAACAGTGCATTTCACTCACTTTCACTTCACTTCAAAGTTCAATAATCAAGTCCAAATATCGAGTTCATATCTTGAGCTTATATATATCGAGTTCGAACATCGAGGCCTTCCTGAAATAGAACAAAAATAACGCTTGAAATAACTAACTAGGGAATGAATATATAATAAACATAGTAAACAAATTAACACGCACAAATAATCAATTACACGATTATTTTCACTTCTAAAATTGAACACTCACAAATATAATCACAGAGCTATCGATTAACGTACCTCCACGGCAAGAACACTAGACACAATGACAGGTAAAACGCAATGTTGCTGGAGGTCACGGCTAAGGTGATTGAAAACTAAAAATGAAAAATCAAAATCCTAATACCTAATACATTGCTACTTATGTCTATATAGACATGAATAAATCTATTTCCACTACAATATCAAGCAATTTTTTGGGGCATGTTCCTCTTTTTTCCAATAAATTTTACTTATTTAGCTCTCCTGAACAATTGAAATTTCCGAAATACGTCATCTTAAAAATCTATCTCCCCCTATGATTTTCAAGCCACAGCATTGAGAGATACAACATCCGATTATTAGGAAAAATCTCTAGAGATCGCCCGGTAATTTTTCCGATTTCTTTCAAGTTTTGATTTTATGTTAAAAAATTGAATATATATAAATATAAAAAATCAAATTTGATATAGTCTTTACGAATCCAATGATATGTCCACGATGTTGTAGCACGTTAATTCGAATGAGTAGATAGATTTTTACAGTACCCTTTTTTTACTGTATTATATGAATTTCACGTTTTCTTTCATTTTTCTGAAAAATTGAAATGAACCAAAAATTCTTCGAATTCTTTTTTACATTCCTGTACCAAGTTTCAAATTGATCAGTCTGTAAATAAAATAAGTTTTTTTCTAGCTTACATACTCGCCTTAAAACTAACATACTATCAATGTGATTTAATAATAATAGTAAGAATAAGAATAATAATAAGAATAATAATAAGAATAATAATAAGAATAATAATAAGAATAATAATAAGAATAATAATAAGAATAATAACAAGAATAATAACAAGAATAATAACAAGAATAATAACAAGAATAATAACAAGAATAATAACAAGAATAATAACAAGAATAATAACAAGAATAACAACAAGAATAACAACAAGAATAACAACAAGAATAACAACAAGAATAACAACAAGAATAACAACAAGAATAACAACAAGAATAACAACAAGAATAACAACAAGAATAACAACAAGAATAACAACAAGAATAACAACAAGAATAACAACAAGAATAACAACAAGAATAACAACAAGAATAACAACAAGAATAACAACAAGAATAACAACAAGAATAACAACAAGAATAACAACAAGAATAACAACAAGAATAACAACAAGAATAACAACAAGAATAACAACAAGAATAACAACAAGAATAACAACAAGAATAACAACAAGAATAACAACAAGAATAACAACAAGAATAACAACAAGAATAACAACAAGAATAACAACAAGAATAACAACAAGAATAACAACAAGAATAACAACAAGAATAACAACAAGAATAACAACAAGAATAACAACAAGAATAACAACAAGAATNTATAATAATAATAATAATAATAATAATAATAATAATAATAATAATAATAATAATAATAATAATGATAATAGCGGTTTCAGCGTTTATTAGGCCGTAGGCCTGTCGCCGATTCTTAACATCGTAGAACATTGACAGCATTTTGAGGTCTCGAACTCGCAACTGACTGCTACAATTCTGCTGTGCTTAACCGCCCGGCCTCCTTGCCGATTCTGACCAGAAACTGGCGCACAGAGCTGGGATCGAACCCGCACCTCTCTAGTGCGTCAATCTTGGTACTCTGAACTTTAACCTTTGGGCCATCTCCATTTGTACGTTACAACGTCGTGCGTGTAACATCATTTCAACGTCAACGTCAACGCGACAATACAAGAATGACGATGTCGTGGGTATAGTGGTAAAAATGATGAATAAAAATGTTAAATGAAAACTATAACAAACAAAGTACAAATACAGACAGAGACAAGAATATAACCGTGTGTTCCCTTTTCTCTAGTTCTTACTCTGGACTCAAGATTTGGAGCCTCTCACCGTGGTGGACCACACAGCAAAGAATAAGTGCAGAGCTTATCTGAATGAGGTCACGTCCGAGGTAACTTAAAACCAAAAATCAGAATACCTAACTGAACTATAAAAACATTATTTCACTGCGTCGCCTAACATCACCCCCCACCAAGTGCAAACCATTGCACTTAAAAAGTGTTAGTAAGCAGGAGAGAGATCAAGATTGAACCTAGGGCCTGAATATACAATATTACACAAGACATTTTCGAGCTTATATACGATATTTGCTATTTTAAAACACAAGAATACACACGCTGGTAGCCTTAAAATTCATTCAAGATTCAGATGTACATGTTATTCATAATCAATCGAAAAAACAATCCGTACGGGACATATAAAATATATGTACACTAGAAAGGAATGATGAATGCGAAACCTTTAAATATAGACATTACAACGCTTCTGTTTTACAAAAATCCACTACAAGCTCTTCAACATTAGGTTGGCTCTGTTTTACCAAATACTATCCTCCTCAGACACTTTTTCCTACTTGTTCATCCCGTCACGGCTCTGTCACGCATTTTTAATCTCTGATAATTTCACGCACATACTTCATATGTTCCATTGCAGCCTTTAACGCATTCTTCTTCGCCAAATCATGCAACGAATCACCCTGATCATTCTCATCATCCAAATCAATTAAATCTGCCCAGTTTTTTTTCAGTTCCGGTCAAAACTCTTCGATACGTCATTACTCGATTCAACATTTCTTTGTGAACAGACATCGCCTGGTCTAACCATACAAAGAGTCTATCCTTTGATAGACTATCCTCATCGCTCGATCCACTATCAGTAACCTTTTGATTTCCTACAGAAAGTGGTTCAAATTGATCTGGCGGCTTGCATAAAATATACGAATCTACTGGAGTTGACACCACACACACTTCTGCCACACACAATTCCTCCTCCACGACTTTTTCCACTTCTTGCATCAAACTCTGTTCTAGTGAATTTCTTTCAGTAATGGGTTGCGGCTTCCGTTCGGGAACAGCTTCTGTGGCAAGGTCTTGCAAATTAACGAAAAGATGGTACTTATCCTTCAATTCGTGCAATTCCTTGACTAGATCACCATCGTTCATGCGCTCTGAAACACTTCCCCATAATTTGACGCTTTATCCAGTAATTTACTTGGGTCGCTTACACAGGCACCGTCATTCACGTCACACGCCTCGAAAGTGCATTTATAGCCACTCGTATTGGACGACGGAAACTCCACATCACGCACAAGCAATTGCGCGCGAGGGGCGTTCGAGGGGCACACAACAAGCTTTAAAAACCGGGACCTACATTGTTTAGTGACATGCCATTGCCAAGAAAATCATCTTTATTTAAGTCCACAGCTAAATTGACGGCTCTAAGAACACCAGATTCGGGAACTCGTCGAGAACGGCCTGTGCGAGATTCTTGGACCAGCAAACTTGTTAAAATGAGCAGATCTGTAGTAGGGACATTTACGAAGAAAATGACTTCCTGAGCCGCAAATAAAACATAGCCTTAATCGGGTGCTACAATTGTACCTCATGTGACCGGCGCGATGAAAGAAACTGCAGACTATATCCTCAGAGTCGTACATATGGCCGCTACATAGTCTGGTTAAGGTTCCCAACCTTCTGGGGGCGATGACGAGAATTATCGCGTTGACAAAACTTCGGCTCTTTGATATTGGAACGCTGGTACTGCGTTAGCCGTATCATTCATCTTCTTACAGCGTAGACAGGAAAGGACACTTTCACAGGTGGGAATTCTGATATTAAAATATGACGCCACCTTCTCTTAAACTGACTTAACGTTTCTTGGCATTCAATTGGCAACGACATTTCTCTAACCTCCAGTCTTGAGAAAAACTTCGTGAACTGCTCGAGGTTTTCTTGGTGAAGCTGACCTCTTGTAAGCTGGGCGCAGAATCGTGTCCAACATGAACATTTGCCATCTCGAACAATCGTCAATTCACGTACGTGGGCCAAAAACGAAACAAATGGGCTGAGTCCAGCGAGTAGATGACAGGCACATACGGGGACCCAACACATGAGACAAGGCTCCGAAAACACACGGTATCCTGAACGTTACTAAACTTTAACACCAAAATGTCGTGGTTATAGTGGTAAAAAATATTAATAAAAACGTTAAATTAAAACTATAAGAAACAAACGACAAATGCAAACAAAGACAAGAATATAACCGTGTGTTCTGTGTCCTCTGTCCTCTAGTTTTTACTTTGTACCCAAGATTCGGAGCTTCTCTCCGTGGTGGATCACACAGCAATGAATAAGTGTGGAGCTTATCTGAATGAGTTCACGTCCGAGGTGACTTAAAACCAAAATTCAGAATCCCTAACTGTACTATAAAAACATTATTGCACTGCGTCGCTAACATCGTTGCTTTAATTAACACGTTTTTCTTAACTCAGCTTCGCGTTTGTTTGTTGTTAACATTGACAACGAAAATTAGCCCACTTCTGATTGCTCTAGAGATCTGAAATTCGGCATGCAGGCTATTTTCGCCAAACAATTTTATCAAATTTCCAAAATTCGTGTGTTGTGTGCTTTTCGCTTTAATCATAAATCTGCCCGACACACGTTTTTTTGGGGCGAGCCATAATTTATTTTCTACTTTTTAGTCCACAAGAAAAACGTGGTTTTTTTAAAGTTTTTTTTAAGTATTTTATTTTCTTTTTGAACTAGTTTTCAACACGATTCCAATATCGCGAACCGATGTTGCTTCAACGTTGACTCGACCAGTCAAAGCTTGCTGGGTTGAACAAAAACGAGCGTCTGGTGTCTGTCGCACAAACCCATTGCAAGTATTATAATGTCTACATTTCAAATTGTTAACAAGCTATGTGCTCTTTCTGATCCATTTATCAGCAGACATACTATTTAGTTAAATATTTTAAGTATGCAAAAGTCTTATACGTTGACCATGCAATTCGTTGGGTGCCCTGAAACCCCAGCGAATAACATTAAACAAGGTGAAATAGATTAACAAGTGAGAGCTGCATTGATTTTGAATTGTGTTTGCTTCTTCATATCTTATCACAATACATTTGGCGTTAAATCAACGTTGAATTTTCAAAATTTTTTGTTGAATCAACCTTAATTAAACGTTGTTCCCACGTCATTTACCCGTTGGTTTATACCTCAGAGTTTGTGGACGAATGATCGCCACCGTGCATTTCGTGTTTATGTGTACCTCATCCCCATTTAACCTTCAAAGAGCAGATGCACACACTCCCTAAAACAAAATGCGATGATTTAAGGATGATGAGCGATTCACCGACGCTCAATAGAAAACACGAAACTTTACCTTCAAATATTTTCTATATCGCTATGCATGCCGCGACCTTAGAATCGGGGTGGTTTGCATGAGCACCGCTTATAAATCGACCTTCTGATGAAGCATTGACTCGAACACTTGATGTTCGACGCACTTCTATAGGAGGAAGAGTCACTTCTTTACATTCTTTGTATTTAGGTCCCCTGCTGTGAACTATAAAAGCCAGTCGACGCCTCTCATCGACAGCACTGAGTCTCTCTGGCTGATCCGATAATCATCAAGGTAAGTCATACTTTAGATTTTTTCAACCGAATTATAAGCTTACCTTGATATACGATAAATAGAGACTCATAAATTATTTCAAGAACTTTTTCAAACTTTATCGACTGTTTATAGCAATCGCCATTGAATATCTTAATTCTTTAATTTGAAGTATAGTTGAGTAAGCATAGTTCAAATAGCAATGATATTGAGATCTCTATTACTCGCGAACAATGGGCAAATGGGCATAAGTGGTATATCTTAACATGCATTTAAATTCTACAAACTAATACTTCTTGGGTTTTATAGATGATTGCAACGGTTGTTCTGATTTGTGGCCTGGCGGCCTCGGCCCTCGGCGCCTCATTCGAGACTCGCCTCGACACCCTCGCCTGCGGGAAGCACACCATGACGGAGGGACAACGTGTCGTCATCCAGTCCCCAAACTTCCCCAGCAACTACCCTGTCGATCAGAGGTGCGTTGAGCTCAAACTCAAAATTTTTTAACAATGATAAAATTTATTCTAAAGCTGAAATTCCGAAGATTAGATCTAGCCATGCACATAAGAATCGCAACCTGTGTAGACGTGAATGTGAACTGCCATAACGTTGTATTTAGAACGAGAACAAACTAAAAACCTGCCAAAAAAAACAATAAAAGTGTAAAAACGAAAAATTCGTGATTTAAACTCATCACAAATATCTTAGATAACGAGATGAGTCCTTCACACACATTTATTCTCTTCATTATTCTGTAATTGTAGATATGTTTTTTCAGAAGTGAATACTGAATAACATCCGATATTCATCTCTCCGGAGTGATTAAAAATGCTTTTAATTGTGTTGCATCGTTATAAAGTAAATTCTCGCAATTATACTGTATGTCTATATATAGAAATGTTTGAGAGAAATGTTTGAGTTTCCTCAGAAGAAACAGGCATCGACTTACCAATTGTTTACGTAACTGCGTAAAATTCTTCAATACCTGCTTCTGGATCTAGCATAGTTTAAGTGAACTTTAAAAGTTCAATGGTTTGCGTTGTCAATTTGCGTTCAACTCGACTTCAACAATCGACGTTTTCGATAAGGAATTTACCGTCAAATAATTTTTTCATTTTCACATCGAACCTTGCATCTGATCTGTGGTGTTTCCTCACGTAATCCATTTTTCGTCTCATTCTCAGGTGCCAGTGGGAACTTTCGTGTCCAGACGAAGACAAACATTCCTTGGAGTTCAACTGCCCTACATTTGCTCTGCAACAATCCGCCGATTGCGTTCATGACCGCCTCACCGTGACTTCACGAGGCACTTCAACCGCGTGAGTTAAAAAATGTTTGCTTAAGACTGAACTTCGTCAGCCCATATACATTTTTAAGACTGAACTTCGTCAGCCCATATACATACAATTTTTGAGTTGTACTTTTTTGCCTAAGTGTTCAACAAAAAATCTGAAATTATTTTTGACGCTATCATTTTTGTTAGACTGACCCAACTTGTTCGAGATCTCGGAGTGTTGTTGAGTACTGAAGCCACATTCGATGACCTCATCGAGGAAAAATTCGCGCAAAGCAGACAACGGATGGGTTGGATCTGGCGGAAATTTCGAACAAGAGAAGCAGCACCAATGATTACACTCTTCAGAGCCCTCGTGCTCCCCAATATGAATACTGCAGTCAGCTTTGGGCGCCGCTCAAGGCGAGCGCAGTGTGGAAACTTGAGTCAGTTCAGCTGACGACCGATACGTCTGGGATCAGCGGTATGAGGGTACTGAATTACTGGGACAGGCTGAAACACCTGGGACTGTACTCACTGGAGAGAAGAGAGAGGTACATATCATTTGGAAGATGATAACCGAGGCAAACTTGGAAGATGATAACCGGACTGACCCCAACTTTGAAAGTGAGACCTACAAATAATAACATATTACAGCGAAAAGAGGGGAGACTGTGCAGGATCCCTCCATTGAATAACCGTGCCGCGGCCAGAGTACAGATTCTTCGGGAGGGATCACCGTCCGTAGCCGGATCGAGACCGTTTAATGCCTTGCCAAAGGTGCTGTAAGGAGGGGAGTTTACCCTTGCGACATTCAAGAGACGATTGAGCAAGTGGTTGAGAAAGATCAAGATTGTCCAGTTATGGGAAACTACCCTCAGCAAGTGACGAGCAACAGCACCTGTCATCAGCGGGCCCAATGGAGGGCAAATAGACGGAACACGTTCAACGTTTTATCCGGATCCGAGGGCAGGGTGACCTGCCTATCGACGACTTGGAGACGGAGGACGACGAAGGCGGTGCATCAGCGTGACCGTAGACTACGAAGTCCTAAACTCATCATAAGGTCATAAGGACTCGAGAAGTGGCTGCAAACATAAGGCACGATGGCTTTAAGCCTTTGCTGAACTTGTATGGCTTGTGGTGTTTCTGTCGTGGTCTACGACGTCTGAAGCTAAGTGTTGCTGTACATGTTTATGCTAAGCGTTGGCTAAAAGACTTTTTTAAAAATACAATTTTTAGCAAATGTCTGCGTTCCCGTTCAATCCTTTCGAATGACACTTCCAATATGCCAACAACGGAAGATATTGAATGAAACTATATTTTATGAAAATGCACTAATCAATTGTCTTGCCATTTATCCCAGGAAATGCGGCACCAACTCTCCCGACGGGACCATCACCTCCACAGGCTGGGCGCGCCTCACCTTCTTCTCGAACTCCGCGACCGTCGCCCAGGGCTTCCGCTGCTACGTCTATTGCCGCGCTCAGCCAACTACTGCTCCTACCACAGTAACCTCAACTACTACAACTGCCACGACAGCGACGACCCCGACTGTTTCTACTACTCCTACCACAGCTGCTCCCACCACCACAGCTGCTCCCGCCACCACAGCTGCTCCCACAACCACAGCTGCACCTACCGCTGCTCCCACCACCACCGCTGCTCCCACCACCACCGCTGCTCCAACAACCACCGCTGCTCCCACAACCACCGCTGCTCCAACAACCACAGTTGCCGCTACCACAACGGTTGCAGCAACCACCACAGCTGCTGCTACGACCACAGCAGCTTCTACCACCACCGCTGCTGCCACAACCACAGCTGCTGCTACAACCACCGCTGCTTCCACAACCACAGCTGCTGCTACCACTACCAGGGCCCCAGCTACTTTCGATTTGAAGCCTTGCGGAACCTACACGCTTCAGCCCGGCCAGCGCGTCGTTATCGAGTCCACGAACTTTCCCCAGAACTACGTCACCGACGAAAGGTAAAACCCATCAGTTCTACCATACGAAAGGTAGAATAGAAAGACTTATTCTCCAGAGTCAGTCTGAAGTCATTTCTGGAAAGATACTTCTTTACTTTAATCAATCAATGGCCTTCGATGACGAAGTTTGAAAAATTCATTCTTTGGCTTCGCCTTTCAAAAATTAGCAAATACGGGAATGATTTTGTATCCAAAAAATTGCTTCTAACAGGCATATGTGCGTTTATATGATAGTTTGCTTTGGGCCATCAAAAAAATTGTTGTGTTTAATATCCAATAGAATCATTCAAACATTATTATAGTAGATTAAAAATGTCTTTTCGCACATTGTCACTAATGCATTTACATAATGAATAAAAACCTTTACACCTGCATTGAGCCCATGAGGCTTGGAATGAACACATTCACTGAGCACTAAATTAGATAGTTCGACACTAGATATACAAGTTTACACTAGATTTGCACAAGTTCTGTTCTTCAGGTGTCAATGGGAGTTCTCGTGCCCCGTTGAGGCAGAAAACTACCTGGACGTCATCTGCCCGAAGTTCAACCTCGAGAACTCTGCGAACTGCGCCAACGACAGGCTCACCGTCACCTCACGCGGCACATCGGACGTGTAAGTTACTTGATCTCTTTTGTTAGTGATGGTATTGTGTTAAAACTTTATTCTGGGCCATTGAATGACAAATTGGAAATAGATTACTAAAAAGGATTTTTCATAGAAAGTATTTAAAAAATGCATTAATAAGGGATGCATCAACAAGTAATTGAAAGCATGAGCTATCATATGTGTTCTTAATTGGCGGGTATAGTGAAAGATTGTTTTTTACCACGTTTTTCTTAGCTCGCTTTCGTGTCCGTCTGTCTGTCTGTCTGTTTGTGATGATCAAATCTTGCAATCGATATTTCACCAACTTTCCCGCTAGCTAGCGCTCTGAAATTTTTAGGGCAGTTCAGCTCCCGATGACAATACAATAATCAATAATTTGTTGCACGTTTCCGGGCGTATTTATTCAATGAAATGTCGACCGAGAAATTGTGGACGCTGCTGCCGCGGTGACGCGGTGCGCCGCTGTAGTGATGGCGAGCAAAGCCTGGCTTGAATACAAGACCATTTCAGGACCCGCTTGCCTAACTAATATTACTATCACTTAGCGCCGTTCATTCATTGCTTCTTTTATCGTATTTTAATGTCTTTCATTACCGAACCTTACTTTATTACAGCCACGCACCCAGATAAATACAGGAACAACAATGTATCCCCTCGAATACAATTTTCTACAGAACTTCGAAAAGAATTTTCTTTCGTGCATTTGCGTGGCCAACTGAAATAAAATGAATATTATGTAGGATGGCTGACCTATGTGCAGTAGTTATAAACTCTAAAGGAACTCACAGGCAGGGGTTGGGAACTAAAAACGTGTGTCGGGCAGATTTATGATTAAAGCAAAAAGCACACAACACACGAATTTTGGAAATTTGATGGTGAACGTACAGCCCGACTCACGTTTTTTGGGGCGAGCCATAATTTATTTTCTACTTCTTAGTCCCCAAAAAAACGTGTTTTTTTTAATTTTAAGTATTTTATTAAACCTTATACCACTCATACAAGTCATTTTCGCATGGCTGGAACGTGACTATGAACCCGACCTCGATCAGGTAGGTAAGTGCCCGACAGGTTCATTTGTGCCTGTATAGATAGTAACACAGAACATTTTAAGAACTATCAATTAATCATACTTGATCGTTTCAAGTCTAACTCTGATGATAGAACCCGTAGAAAATATTTCCCGTCCGAGGCGTGGTAGCGCCTCATAACTTCATTTCTTGCAGGAAATGCGGCACCGACTCTCCTGACGGCACCCAGACATCCACCGGATGGGCCAGGTTCACCTACTTCTCCAACGGTGCCGTTACGGACACCGGCTTCCGCTGCTACATCTGGTGCCGCGCCAAGTAAACCGCCATCGAACAATAGCTCTACAGTCTACATGTAGCCTAAAATCCATAATCATCTGGCTAAATAGAAGATTTGTTGACAAAATTTCTTTAACATGATTGCAGCCTATGTTGTTTTTCCTTATCCGCGCATGATGGAACTGAAAATAAATGAAAAAATATAAGAAAGGAATAATTGGAAAACATACACGGCTAACTACCGTAAAAATTCTTTGAACATTGTATTCGGAATTAGAGTTGCTTGAATTTCTGAAAATGCTGATCTATTAGTTTTATTACACGCGTGGGACTCGAAAAAAAGTTTCGAAAGAAATCACTAAAACAAAATCCCGCACCTCGGCAGAAATCGTATATTGACGAGGACGAGGTCTGAACACCCTTTTAGTACCTCTCACGAAATTTGTACTTTTGGCGCCATTCTCTATGTTCCAGGCCTGCCAGGAAGCTGAAATTTTGGCTCATAATAGAGCTCGATTTCCTATTTACGAATCAGGAGTCGGATTCCCGAAATTCCCCATGGGGAAGACACCAATCCCCAAAGAGTGGGAATTTTTTAAAAAATTCGCTAAAAATCAACCAGACCTCGCACGCGCTTCAATCTTGGCTCCTTTTCTTCTCTTAAGGTGGGGCATGTTTCCGGAACATCCTGACCCGGTCTCTTATACACATCTAGATGTGTATAAGAGACAGGGATTAGATTAGTAGTAAGTTTGGTTCTAGGCAAGATTAGGTTAGGTTAGGTTAGGTTAGGATAGGTTAGGTTAGGTTGTAAAGGTTATGTATGAATAATTAAGGTTATATAGGATAAGGTAGTTTAGGGTAAGCTAGGCAAGTTTAGGCAAAGATGGCCAAGGTGATAATGAGAGATATTAGGGACGGTTTTAAACTATTTAAAAAGGCTATATTGTTATACGTTTTTGGAGTTGTGTTTGAGTTAAAATGCGACAGTTGGAGAGTGAACTGATGATTACTGATAATGTGCGTGATGTTGCAATTGGATAGATTTAAATTATGCCTGTGGGTGTTGGAATATGGTTTTTTGTGGGCGATATTTTGTTGGACTACCGAGGGCTATTTTAGAGTTTAGTATTGGGAAAACGCGAGCCATTGTTTTTGAGATATATTGGCGTGACTGATGAATGATGAAGATTGGAGTGTTGCGATTGTTGTGATGGCTATTTTAGATTGATTATTTTGATAAGTGATAAGACATGGTAGTGTAAGAATATATTGTATTATGTGAATGATGGAGAGTGTATGGTGGGGTTGTTTGAAGTGAGTGAATTGGTGATGATGTGTTTGGAGAGAAAAGATTGCGCTAAATTGATTGATGAATTTGGTATATGTTGTTTATGATATTATTTCTTGTTGTTTTAGTTGTACGGTTTGTATATGTTTGTTGTATGTGTGTATTTTTTAGAGGGATGGGTGCGGTTGTGATGGTCCCGTGTATGCTGGTTAGCAATTACCAATATGATATGATAGACTCAACAAACAATAATTTCAATTTATACCGTATTACCTTAGTTTTCATACCTTCATGCAACGGAAAATTCAGAGATAGTGAATTGGTCATCTAAAATTCAGTAATAATATTACCGCAATGATGATAAATCTGGGAAATTATGATTTGGTTTGAAGCCTGAGTTGGCTTCTAATCCATGCATTTTCATCGCTTCGTATCAGTCCTCTCATGCTAACTGGCGTGAAACTGGCGTGTTAACGTAAACTTTATTCATACGTATACAGTGGAATGAAACTCGCGTGTTAAGTTAACTTTATTGGGAAACAGTTGCATGAAACTGGCGCGCAAACTAAACTTTATTCAAATACAGTGGCATGAAACTCACGTGCGGACTAAGCTAGATTCATGTTCAGTGGCATCAAACTCATATTCCAACCAAACTTGGCTGAGAAACGTGAATAATTTCACCGACTTCAGTTCTGACGATCTCAAGGTTCAATTTTAATTATAAAAAATTCAATTGAATTTTAATTTAAATTTACAATTCAGACTACAATTCTGCTGGTGAATTCGAACCAAAGTTTAAATCAAAGAAATAGTAGATAGCTCTGGAGCTCACAGCAGATGATATGTGAAGAGCATTGGTGCTCATATCTCGGTGTTTCATTTGCCTCCTAATTCTGCATACGTGAGATTAAGAGCCAAGTGTTAAAAGGCCAAGTGTTAAAAGGGATACGATGCAAAGGCTATGAATGCAAGCTATAGTTATCTTGATGAAGCATTGATGGCAGGAACGTCGAGAGATGCCGAGTCACGCATTGCAATAAAGGTATAATTAATGTGCCAGCTTGTGCTTCCATGAACTGTGCACAATGTAATATATAAGCAGTCACCCCCGCGCCTTCACATCACTCGCTTGTTCCAGTCCTGACTGATGCGATGCTCACGGTGAGTTACATTCAGCAAACGTTCCCTTGCCAGAACGTTGTATCGGTTCACTGTAAGTTATGAATAATGTCATATCATAGGAATAGTATGTATAAATTTTTGTTGGCGTTCGTAGCTTCAAGTTTATTTATTGATTTCAAATAAAATTGTTGCGGTATTTGAGATAGATTGTGCGATTAGCTTAAAAATTTTAGAATTTACGCTTCTGGAAAATTTACTAAATACTAATTAAGATCAATAAAAAACTTCATGCTTCGTTCTTTGTGAAGCAAGCGCCATGTCTAGCTGGGATGCCTAGCGATGACGGTTATTAGAAGGTTTGCATCACAAGGTGCTGGACGCGTCATATGCAAAAGCTCTAAATAGTTCGGTCATTCATCATTATTAAAATAGAATATTTAAATATTTTTGAAATTTTACAATATTTCTATTAAAAAATAACACAATATGCTCCACACGCAAATCAATATTTCTCAGCTAGTATCTGAGGCTTTTAAAACCCCGTTGATTTTTATATTAACTTTACTGTTACAAAATTCACTGACCTCCCGAGTTGATTCAGTTTATGTAATGTTGGATCAACGTCGAATCATCGTCGAATCATCTGAAGGGTTTGCATACCTAACTAAGAGCATAAATTATTGTTTGTTTCAGATGATTGCCTCGGGAATCTTATTTTTACGTCTCGCGGCCTCAACCCTCAGCGCCTCGTTTGAGTCTCGCGTCGACATCACAGGCTGCGGAACGCACACCATGACGGAGGGAACGCGTCTCGTCATCCAGTCCCCAAACTTCCCCAGCAACTATCCTATCGATTACAGGTGGCTTGCTGCAAGACAAAAAAAACTTATTTTATAGCTAATAGAACTAAAAATTTATAAGCGAGTAACTTTTCCAGCATCAATCTCTATGATAAAAAGAAGCTTGCCGTCGAATAATCGACCTCCTTTTACAGCTGTATTTCACAAACTATTGGCACAGATTCCAGACTTTTCCTCCCGAAGCACGTATAACGAATTAACGTACCCTGGTCGGTCTATCTAAAACATGCTACACGTGTAGCAACCAACCTGCGATTAGTTTGGTACTCTGGAGGTTTCTCTTAACTGATTGTTGCTTCCACCGACTTGTTCAATTGCTCATCAGTTATTAATAACCTTCGGAATATTTTCTGACATCAAGTGCGGATCAGATTCGATAATCTGAATAAGCATAAAGCTTTGTTTATCTTTCAAGTAGATCATGCTTGTGCCTAACTAGCAATTGCTCTAGAAAAGACTTCGGTAATTAAAAGTTTCTTCCAGTAAAAAATATAAACTTACTACGGATTAGACATTAGAGTAAGCGAGTCGTTCTAGGTTACAATCCTATTTAGTTAATCTTCAGGCGTACTAAATAACAGAAACGCCTCACAATGAGCAGGTTTGCACAATTATTCGGCAATAAAAACACCAACAGCAACATCAGTAGTAGATAACTAACTTAACAATGAACGATATTTGTCGTCTCAGTTATGGAATTTCGCAATTTTATCTCAGTGACGATAGATAGACACAAACATTTGGTGCAAATTAGTATTCAAGTTTTGTTTCAGGTGCCAGTGGGAATTTTTGTGCCCAGTCGAAAACCAGCATTATCTGGAGTTCATCTGCCCAACATTTGCTCTGCAACAATCCGCCGATTGCGTTAATGACCGCCTCACCGTGACTTCACGAGGCACTTCAGCCACGTGAGTTACAAGAAATCACTGGAAATTCAACCTTAACAGACTTGGCACGCTGGGGCGCATGCCGGGGGTGATCAACTAGACCCGACTTCACACTTATCTCATATTACTTTCCATGGGTAAGTTAGCTATAAGGATATAGCAGCCTATGAAGTCAGTTGCTCATAGGCATAGCGCCATATATCCACAGCCACCGCTTCAGCATGCCCGAGCTAAGCATGGTCAATTGGTCATACTGCATCAGGCCAACATACTCCGGCCTAACCTATATTCTGACCTAACCTGCAGACGCCGCAACATTTGGCCACACAAAACAAACCTGAGTTGACCCAACCTAACCTTATTAGCTGCAGGAAGTTATAGAGGAATAGGTTAGGCCGCAATTAACGTGAATAGATTAGGCCAGAAGAGGTTCGGCCGAAGTAGGTGAGGCCGAATGCGGAAGTACCTGGTCGTGAACGAGCATGCCTAATGAAGTATTGGCAGCAGATCTACGGCGCTATACTTTTTACGAAGGGTGTCGCTGGTCTGGATGACGTTCTTCCAGCGTAGTCTGTCACTTTTATCTTTATGGCTGAGTAAAGTTATTGCACTGAAGGGCTGGGGCTTATTTAAGAGTTAAATTTGTGGTCCATGGCTGTACCTCCAGAACACTGATGCGACTTCTGGATAAACAGTAAATTTTGAAAGTAGGGGAGAATGCAAAAGTTCTACAATTCATTCAAATCAAATTTCAAGGGAACGATCCAATTCGCTCAATTCTTTAATTTTTTTAATTTATTTAGTTAGTTAGCTTTTTTGCCGGGGCCATACAATGGAGGGCCATTCTGTCCAAATAGTGACACACTTTCTTACCCATAGCACAAACAGAAAGCGGGCGTAGTCGGGATAACCCACACAAGCGCCAGCAGTGCATTACTAATTGGAAAAAAATCTTGCCTATTTTTCTGAATGCAAACATAGTAGGCATCAAGTTGAAATGAAATATAAAAAAAGAAAAGGCTGTAATTTGACCGCTGAGATGTCTGAAAAACTGACGTCTCCAATATTTGAGCCCACTTGCAATGTCATGTTTAGCCGCATCAACCTGTGCCGACCCTGCTCTGAATCATGCCAGTGTTATGTCATGCTGAACTTATGCACGGATACCGTAGACAATATTCTAACAAGGTTAAATAGGGAAATGTATCAACAATTAACAATTGTTAATTACAGGAAATGCGGTACCAACTCTCCCGACGGGACCATCACCTCCACAGGCTGGGCGCGCCTCACATTCTTCTCGAACTCCGCGACCGTCGCCCAGGGCTTCCGCTGCTACGTCTGGTGCCGCGCTCAGCCTACCACGCCTACGACCACTGTAAGCACAACTAAGGTTACAACCACAACACCAAAAACAACCACGACGCCCACTACAACCACAACGCCCACTACAACCACAAAGCCCACTACCACCACAACGCCCACCACAACCACAACTCCCACTACAACCATAACGCCCACTACAACCACAACGCCCACCACAACCACAACGCCCACTACAACCACAACGCCCACTACAACCACAACGCCCACTACAACCACAACACCCACTACAACCACAACGCCCACTACAACCACAGCATCTCTCACCACTACCCCTGCACCCACCACTACGGCTGCTGACACGACCACAGCTGCTGCTACGACCACAGCTGCTGCAACGACCACAGCTGCTGACACGACCACAGCTGCTGACACGACCACAACTGCTGCAACGACCACAGCTGCTGACACGACCACAGCTGCTGCTACGACCACAGCTGCTGCTACGACCACAGCTGCTGACACGACCACAGCTGCTGCCACGACCACAGCTGCAGACACGACTACCGCTGCAGCGACAACCACAACTGCCTCTACCACCACCAGGGCTCCAGTTACGTTCGATTTGAAGCCTTGTGGGAATTATACGCTTCAGCCCGGCCAGCGCGTCGTCATCCAGTCCACGAAATTCCCACAAAACTACGTCACCGACGAAAGGTAAAGATCATATTTCATAACAATTCCTGGGCCAAGTCAGCATTATTTTGGGACTGTCACTTATTTTAGTGACATATTTCAGTTAAAATAACCATAAAATACGGATTTTGTTTGACACTTTAAAGTTCACTTTAACCACGGCTGCGTCAACTACAGTAATTTGAACATATTCTTGATGAAATTTTATTCTGACGTATCGCACAACTACGAGGCGATCATTGGGTTATGTTATTGTGGTGCGTTGCCGCAAAAAATTATAAAAAAAAAGTGGCATAGAATGGCACACAGTGGTCGAAAAGTGGCACACAGTGGCCAAAAGTAAGGAAAAAATTAAAAAATACGAGAATATGTATAGGAGACGAGTATAGGCGCAAAGCACATAAATTTGTTTATTATAGGTGTATGGGGTTACGGAGGGGGATTTGGAATTTGGTTAGGGGATTTTGAAGCTTCAGTTTGTCAGCGGTCTAAATATTTGAAGAGTTTTCAAAGAATAGTGAGCTATTTATCTCTCCACCTGCGTGCAAATTCAAGTATAACATTTTACAATGAGTACAACAGTTTCAAACTATCTACCTACATAGCCACTCTTATTAGACCTAAAAGAATTTCCCAGCAGCTCTCCGTAAAACCAATCTCTCAGATTCAACGCATTAAAACTCACACGCACTGATTACAAAATTAGAAGCGTAGACACAAAATATTTTGTTCTTCAGGTGTCAGTGGGAGTTTTCGTGCCCCGTTGAGGCAGACAACTACCTGGACGTCATCTGCCCGAAGTTCGCCCTCGAGAACTCCCCGAACTGCGCCAACGACAGGCTCATCGTCACCTCGCGAGGGCAGAGAGACGTGTGAGTTACAACATATTTACAAAACACAGAGCTATAAAAAAATTTCTGAATTTCGAACCGTTTTCTCTTGCTAGGACTCAGCTCAGAAATTTATTTCATTTCAGAAAAATTCAACGACTGACTCATCGTCAACTAGTGACTGCGCAGAGAGGTGTGTGTCCGGTGTCAATTCACTTGACCTGATAGAGATTGAGGACGAGTCAACATCTGATAGACACGTGATAGATCACGCGATCAAGACCTCAGTAGTGGGCGGAAGCGAAGCTTATAAAAGGTCTAGCAACCTTAAGCAAACCCCCCAGTAGCTGATGAGCACTCCGCGATGTAGCGTGTCGGTAGAGATCTCCGACCTTACGGTCGATGCCGTAGCTTATACCTCTGTATCTTAAGGTGCTTATACAGAGGGCTATTAGCTGCGTATATTGGTTGCGTATACTACAGCTTTGCAGGCTGAGAGCCTATACACGAGTATAGCGTTTTCGGTACACTGCGCCCGCGTCAGTGCGACGTTGGGAGTTGTCGAGTAAGGGTGTGCACGGTGGAGGCATGCGAGAGCAAGAAAGCAGTGCGCGCTATAGTGGGCGAGAGAGAGAGCGACGCACCTGTGCTCTGTATGACGGCCGGGCGGCTACTGAGCGCAATAGTGAATAGACTGCTTCAAAACAACTCTAGTTGCCTTGCCTGCAATGAACCAGCTAGCTGCCTCTGAACACGTCAAGCATCACAAATTTTTGTAGCCTGGCCTGGTAGACGTAACCAATATACGCAACTAATAGCCACGTGTATAAGCACCTATAACTCTGTATTACCACCCCGTATACAAGATACGTTATCTGGACTTATGAGTCTTATTTACCCTCACTATCTTAGTCAGCGAAACCCGATCCTCAGGTATAGCTTAATATAAAGAGCTCAATATCATAGTTTGTAGGTAATTTACAACCTGTGACAGTGGCGCACTCGAACAGTGTCCCTGTTCGGGCGCCACTATCACAGGTATGAGGGACACTGTTCGGGTGTGCCACTGTCACAGGTTGTAAATTAACTACAAACTATGATATTGAGCTCTTTATATTAAGCTCTACCTGAGGATCGGGTTTCGTTGACTAAGGTAGTGAGGGTAAGTAAGACACATAAGTCCAAATAACGTATCTTGTATACGGGGTGGTAATACAGAGTTATGATACAGAGGTATAAGCTACGGCATATCGACCGTAAATTAAGGTCGGAGAACTCCACCGACACGCTACATCTCAGAGTGCTCATCAGCTACTGGGGGGTTTGCTTAAGGTTGCTAGACCTTTTATAACCTTCGCTTCCGCCCACTTCTGAGGTCTTGATCGCGTGATCTATCACGTGTCTATCAGATGTTGACTCGTCCTGACGTCCTCAATCTCTATCAGGTCAAGTGAATTGACACCGGACATGTGAGTTACATCAAGATGCATGACTTATGATACAATAATGAATGAGATACAATAATGAGATACAATAATGAATAAACACTAATAATTTCAACGTTTGACATATTCAATTTATAGGATATTAGCCGTTACCGTCAGCTGATCTATGCACCACCGACAAACATTTTTATAGGTATTAAATTATATTAAGGTATAGTTATATTGGTATTATTATTTTTGTATTCCATTTTTCATGATTAATCGACAATTCTTACAATTGTTCTCAGAATTATTCTTCTTTAATGGTTTATCTAGTCATTCCCTATAACTAGTGCCTCACCTCTCCACTATGTGCCTCAGATTGACCCATCATGAATAAAGGCATCCATCGTTGCTAAATAAATGCTCGGGATTCTTAGGTGACCGTATAGAATCATTTGTCATGTTATAGGTTTCGATTCGTCGTAGACGTTCTCCAGAAAAAAAATATTCAAGCCACTGCACCAGGAATTTCAATGAGGTGAATCCAAGAAGAAATGAATTAGAGGTCAAAACTGATAATTTATCCGCGCAGCTCGAATCACGCACTCAAGCGTTTAATTTGTCAAGATCGCGGCTAGCGTGGTACGGTTGTTAAAAGCTCATAGGTTCTTGTCCTAGATCATTTATTATCTTTAGATTGTTACGGGTAATCGTTGTATGACCCGTCGGGAACAACATGGAAGTAAATAAAATGTACATGACTCGATCGATCTCCCGCTACCCGCTCTTCAGTCTTCACTCCTAACCTTAAAAATCATCGCCTTCATTGAATTGTAAACTCTTGTGCTGCGACCTGTAAATTCCGGCTGCAAAATACAAAATTCTGTAGAAATTAGTTTTAGCAAAGTAGCGGAGTCTGTGCGTGTTTTATATTTTAATGAGGTCCGTATCTATATATTGTGACACAATGGAATTTGACTTTCCCTCGCTGTGTTCAACAGAAAATGTGGCACCAACACTCCTGACGGCACCAAGACGTCCACCGGATGGGCCAGGTTCACCTTCTTCTCCAACTCCGCCATTACGAACACCGGCTTCCGCTGCTACATCTGGTGCCACGCCAAGTAGACTCTTGGCTACATCTACGCATCAAGAGCAAGATTGATTTGCTTTTGTCCTTTGGAAGATGAAAATGGCTTTTTAGTTTTCGTAAACTGTTGCATCTACTCCGTGTTTATGTTTTTCCTAAGTGAATACACGTTATTTATAGGGTTAATGGAAATTAAAAGTAAGGAAAGCTCAACACGTCGAACTAGCGGCCATACGAAAATCGACAATTTTATTTTGTCTCACTACTTTTTAAAATGATAAATACTGACACTGACAAATGACACTCACGACACTGAAAAATCTTTCGTTGAGCAAAATTTGTTTTTAATGTTGCATTTTTCAGAAATAATATTGAGACCCAATTGCGAACCAATCAATTTTAGACACTTTGCCCCGTGTTTATGAGCGCGTATAGGAGATGAGTTTTGTACCTTCTTAATTGATTTCAAAGTAATTTAGGCAATCAGAGAGAGCGAAAACACGAAAACGAATGAGACTAAAAAAATTAGATCAGTACTCACTGCAGTGAGTGAAGTCACGGACGGACATGACGAGCACAAAAGCGTTTTTTTTCATAAATGAGAAAATGCGCTAAAAATCTCAGTCACCGTATGCTCAGAATGCAAAATATGATCCGAATTCTGAAGAACCCACGTTATATTCAAATGAGATTCAGAACTTGGTATCTTGCTTTCTCATTTTCGATTTTATAATGAAAAGTTATATAATACTATAGCATTGGCAATTTCAATAATAATGAATTTATTGAAATGTTTCTGCAAAGATGAAACGGAATAAAATTTCATATTATAAAAAATTTTGTATTCACATGGTAGAAAGAAAATTTGTCAATGTTGCCTTCTCCGGTGTGGGCGCTTGATGGGCTCACTGCGTACGTGAACACTTGTGCTGCTCTTTTCGGTAGTCTATAGATGCCTTAATTTGCTGACGTGATATTGAAACTGAATTGGAATGCTTGTGGTGGATTACTGCAACTTTTTATAATTAGCTTAGCTTATTATTTTATTTATAGAATATAATAATTTTACAAATTTACTTACTATATTACTTATTGTTAAACTCAATATCAGTAGTTAATTCTTAGCATAAATATTGAATGTTCAGTGTAATCACAAATTTCCAAGGATTTGAATATATCCTCTTAAATATCTGATTCAACCCAAATAACATTTAATCCAACCTAATTTACTGCCCCAAGCGATGACATGAAAAGAGCATCTACCCCTGCACTGAATTTGCATAAGGAGGACTTAGCAAGTAAATTTGGAAAATAATGTAAGAAATGCTGTAGAAAGTAAATTTGGAAAATAATGTAAGAAATGCTGTAGAAAGTAAATTTGGAAAGTAATTACATTTTATGAATAATAAGCTTATCATAAGAAGTCACAGTAATTCACCACAAGCATTCCAATTCAGTGTCAATACCACGTCAGCCACTAAGGCGTCTATAATAACTAAAAAGAGCACCACAAGTGTTCATGTATGCATATGTTGTCGATCAAAGCAAGCGCCCAAGCCGACACTTGAGCGGAGGTGAGCATCGAGTATCCACTACACCAATTCACTGTAAGTATATTCTTTGCATTTGATGTCTTTTACGAGCTGTTTTCTCTATATCTCCCATTGAGTAGCGTTCGCAGTGTCTAGTTATTTGTTCGTAATCATCGCACAGTCGAGCTAGTAAAATTTAAAGCTAGGTTAACCAATTCTACTCTGCTGGTGTATTTCCGATTACACACATTTTCTGGGAGTATAAATCAGTTATAAACATTTTTCATTTGTATCGACGCTGCTGTGAGCTATAAAATTCAGTCAACGCCTCCCATAAAATTCATTGAGTTCCCAATTTTTGTCTGATCTGGTCGCCACTGATGCAAACCAAGCTACAAATTTTATACTCGTAATTAAATTGAAATTTCTTTGTTTGTCCGTATAAGACAAATCTTTATGAAATAACCCATTCGATAAAGAGTTATTGCACAACTTTAATAATGATGATTTCCTTCAAACAATGTTTCTGAAATGCTAACCTGTACCGATACGTCACTAAGGATCGGCCTGATTTTGAAGTCAGAATATGCGTACGGCTTGACCGGAGGACGAAGGAAATAGTAGTGAAAATGAGATCGCTATTTTTCTGGAACATAGGGAATAAACTGTACGTCTTGACATGCAATTAAACTATAACATTTCCTATTTCTCCTCATATTTTGCAGATGATTGCAACGGTTGTTCTGATTTGTGGCCTCATGGCCTCGGCCCTCGGCGCCTCATTCGAGACTCGCCTCGACACCCTCGCCTGCGGGAACTACACCATGACGGAGGGAACGCGTCTCGTCATCCAGTCCCCAAACTTCCCCAAAAACTACCCTGTCAATCAGAGGTGCGTTCATCAGCCAGGTTGCGCCAAATACAGTACTAACTTTCAATATATTATTAATCAAATTATATTTTGATCGAAGTCCGAGGGTATCATTAAGTAGGTTTCTCAGATGTCAAGGTTCTAACTTATATAAAAAATTTCAAAGACTAGTGAGCGATTTTTCACTCAGCCTACTTGCATATCGCATTAATGCCAACACATTAGAACCCACACGCATTGATTACCCAGTTAGAAGCGTATACACAAAATATTTTGTTCTTCAGGTGTCAGTGGGAGTTCTCATGCCCCGTTGAGGCAGACAACTACCTGGACATCATCTGCCCGAAGTTCGCCCTCCAGAGCTCCAAGGACTGCGTCCACGACAGGCTCATCGTCACCTCGCGCGGGCAGAGAGACGTGTGAGTTACAAGATATTTACAAAACAAAATAATATCGAAAATTTTTTGAACTTAGAACCGTTTTCTCTTGCTACGACTCTACTCAGTAATTTATTTCGTAGCAAAAAATTTTAACAACTGGCTCATTGTCACCTCGCAAGGGCAAAGAGAGAACACCATGCAAGCATGAGTGCATAGTAATTGAATTTAGAGTGGCTTGGTCCATTGCCATCTGCCCTCTTTTTACTCAGCTTTATAATCATTGCCTTCCTCGAATTGAAAACGCTGGAGCGGCAGCCAGTAGTGATCCAGTAGTGATTATCGCAAATTTAGTAGAGATCAGAATTGCTCGGAAATTATTTTTATACTTTCATAATATTACTATAATATTTGATAATATTGCTGCTCGCACTCGACACATTAACTTTCCCTCGCTGTGTTCAACAGGAAATGTGGCACCGACTCCCCTGACGGCACCAAGACGTCCACCGGATGGGCCAGGTTCACCTTCTTCTCCAACGCCGCCATTACGAACACCGGCTTCCGCTGCTACATCTGGTGTCACGCCAAGTAGACTCTTGGCTGCAGCAATGCATCAAGAGCAAGATTATCAGGACTTTTTTGGCTTCTCTTTGGTGATTTTTATGGTATTATGGTATGGTTAAAAATGGTATCTTTTCTTCCCATAAACTTCTGCATCTACTTCTTGTTTATGTTATTCCTGAGTGAAACCAGATAATTGCTCGTAAACTTGTTGATCATCACCTGATTCTGGAACATCATCCTCCAACACGTATAACTAGCAGCCATTAGAAATTCGGCAATAAGTTATTTTGCCTCACGACTTATTAAAGTGGAAGTACACTGATTTCTTTGAGCGATATTTGTTTCAAATAATTAATTTTTACCACTTTTTCACCTGTATTATAACCGCGCATCAAGAAAGAGCATTTTTATCGCCTCATTCTATTGCAAAGCTATTTAATTAATTACAGTAAACTCAAACAAAAGAGATTAAAAATATATTTAGGTCGAACTTTTTCTAAATGAGATATAAGGCATAAAAACGAAGGCACTCAGTTTTTTAAGATAAGGTTTTCCAAAACTTAAAGAAACGAACTGCAAATTTGAGTTAGGCCTGCCTCATTCCGGAGGAGGCGGTTCCCGAGTCGTATGTGGCGGGCGCTCATCGATCACAATGAACTTATAGTGTAATTGTCGCTCCACGCGTCATTGAGACTTCTGCAATAGAGGTTTTCAATCCCACTTAGCCTTCAAGGTGAGCTTCAATACGTGTTCTAAAAATAACAAAGTTCGTGAAGGACCATGATCGCTTTGCCGAAGCTTCATAGAATTAATGGAATTCAAGGTTACAATTTCTATTCATCACTTGACACGAATCAAGCCACGATGAATTTATATCACTTGTTTGCTTAAATCGCAAATTAACTAAGAATTTAAAAGCAAAGAAAAGTCCATAAAAATTCATATCTTTATAGAAAACGTTTCGGAGACCAGCTCCATCGTCAGTTCGTAGAATCTAGAATCACAAATCAGAAGTCACAAATTAATACATTGAAAGCTCAGAACGAAATTAAAAACCTAAATTTACAAGTAATAGACAGAGCAAAAAAAACTATCTATTAACAATTTCAAGGGGATTAGGAGCTAGCAGCTGAATTCAAACTGGGCCTAAGTTTAAATATGTACAGTGATTCTAAAATGCGCAAATCGGAAGTCCCGGAGGTGGAAATTAACACCCTAAAGTCACTGTCAAAAATAGGGACATCACACTGCTCGGCGTGGGCGCGATAGCAACTGTCTGGTTCTACAACTCCTGCCCTTATGCTCAGAGACCCTGGAATAAAGATTGCGTGACGTCATCCCGACGTACGCAGATGCACATCGTGCACAACAATATTGATAAACCAGGGACGATCGCATGTGAACAGGGAGCATATCTTTATATCTAAAGAAAGAACCGATTGTGAAATTGTTTACCAGCACAATATTGACATTTGGGAAGTATCTATTGAACAAGACTTTTAATTCTCTTGACATAGCTTCGGACGCAGGGCCGAAGTATGGAAAAGAACAATAAATAACGTTCCTACTATCGCGCTCAGGAGTTTTTAAACGAAAAATATGCAATTGTGGTAAAGGGACCAAGGGTGGGCGCCTTGCCCCAAGCCCATGGGCCCATTGCCCCAGGGGTGGGGCAATGGGCCCATTTTGACACTTTTAACAAAATAGTGTTTCATTAAAAATTGAATAACTCTATAGGCGTCTAATTCACATCATACATTCCTCATTAGTTGTACCTTTAAACAAAACAAAGAACCACCTCGTATCAATTAAAACTTCATCAAAAATTTAGTTTAAAAAAAGTGGGGGGCGCGCTGCCCCACGTTACCCTATCTATTGAACAAGATATTTAATTCTCTTGACATAGCTTCGGACGCAGGGCCAAAGTATGGAGAAGAACGATAAATAACTTTCCTACTATCGCGCTCAGGAGCCACCTCACTGTATCGCTTCGACATGAATTTCTTGATTTGGGTAAACACCAAACTTGCCGGAAATCCATTAAGCGAGAAAATATTATTGCGTAAAAATTCAAATTCAGCGTGAATAGCATGGTATGTGGAACAAAGGCAAAATATTCTATGTAAAAATGTTTGAAGCCCATTTTACATGAATCGGAACGAACAAAAACTAAAGAAACTGGTACTTAGGCCGGTGAAAGTCGGTTTTCGGTACACAGAAGTCAGAAGACGGCCATTCGATTTGGTAATATTGCAATCAATCTTCCAGAACACCTGTGCCACGATCTTCCAGAACACCTGTGCAGAGTTGGCTCTGAAAAAGATCTTCTGATGACCTGTCTGAACACTTGGGTGTTCTTCTGTTTGAACACGTGATGTGCGATGGATGCACTTACAGTAGGCAATGCGTTAGATATTACTTTGCACCACAGAGGCCTGCTGTGGTGACAGCTACATAAGGCAGTCAATATCACACATTGACATCGTTGAATTCATAATCTTAGTCATATCTGTTAATCAGATAGAAAAACCAGTTGTTGAAGAATTGAGTAATTAGCTTTCGATGACGGTGCATTCGGTCTCAAAAATTAGATGAGGAAGAGCGCAAGAAATCATTAAAAAAAATTCGCATTCTTTTCTTTATCAATTTATTTACTTTTAAAATGTAATACCAATACCTGCGTAGTAATAAGACTTGATATTCATTGTCAGCATACTTATTCGCAGTTATAGCGAGTGATGATAACCCCTCCTTTTCGTTTATGAAATTCGTATTTCTCTCCTTTAAAGCTGGCCTAGAAAATAATCACCCAAACTGCACTTAAGTATTATTAATTTATACTGCTCTTTAAGTTTTGTATAGGATACTAGCGAGTGCTTATATTTGTGGCCTGGCGGCCTCGGCCCTCGGCGCCTCGGCGCCTCGACACCCTCGCCTGCGGGACGCACACCATGACGGAGGGACAGCGTGTCGTCATCCAGTCCCCAAACTTCCCCAGCAACTACCCTACAAATCAGAGGTTCTTCCAGCTGGCAGTCGGGATTTTTCAACATATAAAAAATCTATTCATATAATGAGTCGTAATAAACACTACAGATAACCTGATGCTTTCGTCTGGAACATTTCATCCTAAGTGATGGCAAGACACCATAAATGATTTTTCGTAATAATTTCGCTATTTTTGAAATAACTTCATAAACAGTAGCATGCTTGTGTTCCCGCGAGCCCTTTACATTAAAAATAACTTTGGCATATTATGAGTGCAAATAATTCTTCATTACACCGATTGTTACTTAGGATGTAGCCTTTGTACAACAAAATTACTTATGTATACCCAGAATTTCTTAAAAATAGACCTGGATATTAATTATTTTATTCCTGTTAAACATTTCTATAAACATTTCTATTTCTGAAGGTATCATAAAACAATTCATGGAACATATTAATTCAATGCATTTTTCCTGCGATTAAGATGCCAGAGGGAATTCTCGTGCCCAGCTGAAGAACAGCGCTTCCTTGAGTTCATCTGCCCTGCACTATATATTCCCTCTCCAAAAGTCCACCGATTGCCTCAACGACCTCACAGTTCGACCCGACCTCCTCCTCTGGCAATCGAACTGTGCAACTTAAAATGCTTATATGTAAAGTTGCCTATAATTGAATTTCTATAGCAAACCAGCACACAAATACGATTTGTTAATAAGAGGGGTTTCAATTCGCATCGCAAATATTTCAACACATTGATGATGAACCAGTTCATCGTCGTCAGAAAACCTTTCTGACATCGATTACGGTGCACTTTCTCTAGTCCTGGCCTGATAGCTCTAGCAAGGGCTAGAGCTATCATGACAGGGCTAGTACTATCAGGCCAGGGCTAGAGCTATCAGGCTAGGGCAAGAGCTATCATGCCAGGGGTAGAGCTATCAGGCCAGGGCTAGAGCTATCAGGCTAGGGCAAGAGCTATCATGCCAGGGGTAGAGCTATCAGGCCAGGGCTAGAGCTATCAGACTAGGGCTAAAGCTACCGGGCCGGGGCTAGAGCTATCAGGCAGGGCAGGACTAGAGCCATCAGGCCAGGGCTAGAGGTATCACGCAATCTATGCAACTGCTGCTCTGGTGTGAAATATTGAACGGGACAGAGTATGGTGCCGAAATGAACCGATTCAGTGTTCATTGTTTTCGTCTTTTTAGGTGAAGGTTTCTTCAGCAGGTTTTTTATAGAAACTGGTTCTTCTAATAGCGCATTATAAGTGCCATTGATGTTGCACGAGAGAGAGCATGTTGATGAATGAGGGAATTATGTGGGTGTTAAAGGCGATTCATGCGTTTGTTAAATGAGTAATCCAAATAACAAACGATTAGATTATTATTATTTGGCTATTGTTCTTTCGAGCTGTTATTGATGTATTCATTTCAGGTGCCCACGTAAGCATTTATTTCAATACATGGAGTGGGTGTACTTGGGCTATGTTTTAAGGGAGATTTTCTTTAGAGGGGGCCCCTTTTTGCAGCTGTATAGGTAGTAGTTCGCAGCTGTGTTACAATAGTTGCAGCTGCATACGTTCGTTATAGTAACATCATTCAATAAGGTTGATGGAATAGCGTTAATTTCTCGCATGACATATGATTTTGTAAGCCTTTAGAATTTCAGGACTATTATATAGCGGCAGAATACAATAGATTTCTGATTCACGCCTGATTCACACATGGTCACCCTTAAAGTGTCGATTAGTGCGGGCCTTTTCGGCTCAATAAATGTATCAAATTTTAGACAGCAACTAGCAATTTTGAAGATTCATCTGTGATATCGTGATGGCTTCTCAAGAGCTGATCCTTGACCGCATTTAATAGTTTAAGATCACCCAAAAACTCGCAAGCTCATGATGGCGATCCGATTAGCGTGTTCGAATCGTACCCTGAAGTGGGCATTGATCGGGCCGCAAATATGAGCTTCATGTAAATTGAGCGTGTAAACAAATCTAGAACGAATTGTTGTCAGCATTTTTAATACGCATGTCAACTTAGAAGTCGTAATCTCGTATTTTAAAAAATATTTTCATTCAAAATAAATAAATATTATTTTCGTAATTATACAAAAATAATAACAATAATTTTTATAAATGAAATAAAAACTAATTTATTTTATTTTGAGTAAAATTCTTGTATTCAATAAACATACGCAAGTTCGGGGTTTATATAACCTTCGCGGGGCATATATATAAGTTTCGCGGGGCATATATAAACTGATGATGGCGGTCGCTGAGCTCAGATCTGTGTCACCTGCCTAAGACCTAACACGCAAGCGGTCACTACTGCATTCCATGTAAGTTGACAATTTTCAAGAATTTTCATATAATACAATTTGTCTCGGAAAATTTTAAGATATTTAATAGTCAAAATTGAAATTTTTGGAACATAGTACGACACTGATTAATTTAAGGGTCGATGCATGTTTCTGTTCTGCATTTTGAACATCAACACTCATGAATCAAAATTGCATCAATTATTTCATTTTTTATTGGATCAAGTATTTATTCTGTATTTATAACTAAATTCTATTCATTAAAAGGTGGGAGGAGAACTGAATGCATTGTGAGTCTAATAAGAACCTCTAATGATAAATTAACCGACGAATAGCAATATTTTAATCAGAGCCAATGAAATGTTATTGTTGTTTTAAATCATGCAGTCGATGATGCATAGACTTGTTGATAATTAGAGCCAATGAAGTGGTTCTTATTATTTTGAATAACACCGTCGATGATGCATAGACATGTTGAGCACAAGCGCAGAAAAGATATACTAAATAATCGTTCTATTCACCGTGCAGCGCCATGAAGCTGATGCTGCTGATGATATTGTGCACCGCCGTGACCGCCATGGTATTGTGGGCTTTAAACTTGTCACTTAATAGGAAAATTTCTTAATGATTGTTAAGAAAAATATCCAGCGATCAAAATATTTCCGCAGTTGTAGTGACCTGGTATCTTGATCGTCCAATTGTAGTGAATGACATTTTTCTAGCACTTGATGTTCACATAATATTTTAATATACTTCTTATAATTATAATTAATATGAATAATATTAATAAAATTCATCAAGATTCCTAAATTACATTCTGTTTAACCATTAAAAAAACGCTAGAAAGTTGACGTCAACGTGGAAATTTGAGAATAAAATATATATCAGAATGTATTGTTATAACTTTGGTACAGAATGAAGTGAATAAATATGGAATAATTATATTAACCTGTCCACAAATTTATATTTTAGTTCTTCTATTATCGACATTCGACTCTTTTGTCCGACCAGCATGTTCACATTTATATGAGATCCCCCCTGTAATTAACTTAAGACAGCCTAATTTTTTTGTTGCAGGCAGCGGTGGAAAGCGTAGTTGAGTCCTCGGAGATCAGTACGTTTTTAAATAAATTTTAACAATAAACATTTGAATAATTGTAAAAACTTGTCATTTTTATTCAAGTCAAATAATTTGTGATCTGCTTTCTGTGTGCCATTTCTCATATGAAAATGAATTTTGATGAATGAATTTTGAGATGAAGGAAAAAAAACACCGAAAAGAGAATTCGTGACGAAACATTGTATTCATTGCAAATTTTTCGAAAATAGTCTTTATTATTATTGAATCCTAAAATTGTGATTAGGCACCGAGTTCAATTTGTACCGGTATTTAAAATCCACAACAAAGAAAAATAATGACCACCAACATGGTTGTGCATAATGGAAGTGAAATTCTAATTTAAATATTCCGATACCCAGTCGCATCTATTTTGTCCGTCCCCAAAAAAAGAATGGTACAGTTTTCAGAATGAAGCCTGGAACAGTGATTGCAAATGACCAATTTTTATTTTTTCTTTTGTTTACGGAGGGCATTGAAAATTCTCTGAATGAATCCACTTTGTCACAGGCGTGGACAAGTACATAGAGCAGTACACCAATGACAGACTGCAGCCTTGCTGCGAACGGTGCTACGATAGCTTGGTAAGTGTATTTAGTTGCTAGCGTATAGATCTCAAATTAAATAGAACTAGAATTTAGTGATTTAGTATGAAATGAAAATTTATTACGGTAAGCGGTTCATTTATAGCCTATACATACTCGTAAATATTTTATGGAATGGAACTAGAATTTTGCGATTTAGTATGTCATGAAGATATATCACGGTAAGCGTTGGTACCATAGGCAGCGGGATTGATAAATACGAGAAGCTAATGATGACAATGATAAATGACAATTTTCCACATTTCTTCTTGGTGAGGTAAGTATGATTCTTGGCAAGAGGACATGGTAGGAGAGTTTCATGATGAAAGGTTTTAGTGTACCAGGAGTATTTAGCTGCATTTTTTTGAGACATGGAAGCAAGAGTTGCTCTAACTTTACATTAATTTGCATTAAGGATTGATGAACATCAAATTCAGCATTTTTTTCAATATTTCAGGGAATTTTTCGAGCGATCAATTGTATTTGCATTTAAGAAAATTCTTTTTAATTTTATTTTCTTTAGCGTTGATGTCGCCTACAATGGAACATTCTTGAAAAGCATAAAGCCATCCATACATTGTATTAATGCGAATTTGTGTGCCCAACAGGGTAACAATGGATGGTGCGCTTACAGGTGGCAGGGATGTGGTTTGTATGGGTACCAAGCGGTAACATCCCGGGGTTGTGCTCCTGCCAAAATGATTTGTGATGTAAATGGATCAAGGTGCCCGCGGTACAATCCCTGCATCTTGCTGCATCTTCAAGAAGCGAGTCGTTCCGTTTGAACTGCTTGAGATTGCTTGAACTCTATCAAAAAAATTTCTCCGTAATTTTTCACACAACCGCTTTGAATGTTGCTTCATTTTGGTTGTTTCTAAAGTTGTACGGTGGATGAGTCTTATTTCAATCGCTTAGCTATTTTCGATACAGGTTTGTTGTGAGGCTTTCATTGTTTTTCATAGCTTAATCTTTCCTTATGATTGGATCAAGACAAGGATCAAGGAATGAATTGAACGCTTTATGTCATTTCATTATCCCTGCGGCGGTTTTATCTCTGCTAAATCTAAACGATGTGAAGCTGAACAATTTGCAACTTCGTGCTCGGCATTATAGCAAGCCCCGAATTTCCTTCACCTAAATTATCGCTGAAGATTGTAATGCATTGCTTTATGCCAATACAAGATGAAAGATTCCACGATTTTTATTACATGTTTCCAGACTTGTTTTACGTGTGACGAATGAGTGGCAATAGGAAAATCACTTGAAAAATTGTCAATGGAGAAAAATTTATCAATAATGTCGACTTATTCTATCATGAGATGCCAGAATATTCCATTCATTCTAGGATAAATTAAACATCGAAAATAAGGTCATAATCAATGAGGAATAAAAGAAATTTGAAACTTGATTTCCGTTTTCGAAAATAAATAAAAATGTGCAAAAATTCAATGAAAAGGAAAAACAGCTATGGTGGGTATTTTTTGTAGGATTTTCGAATCATTTTAACATCGTCACAAATAAATGAAAGAAATAAGAGCCACAGGGAAAATGAGGAAGGAATAATTAGTGCCTCAGCTGAAACATAACAGAGGAGCGGGGCCTCAGCATAGACATTCTACGAGTTGGCCTCGTGAGGTCGTGTGTCCAGGGTTATCAATACGATTGGAGTTAAGGTAGTTTATGTTTGTATATAGGAGGGTTAAAGTCGATGCATTCTCAGTGCATTTTGTTGGTAAATATAGTTACTTTTTTCGCAGAGGTCAGGTTCGCCAGTTGCCATATCAAGTCAAAGACACGTGTATGTTTGTACGTGCCAATGTTGGAAGTAGGTTTATTAAATTGTGCAGAAAATGTTGGGAAGGTGATGAAATCAGAGTTGAGGGCGTGTAAGAATTTGAGTGAATTCCACTGACTGCGAGCTAAGCCAAATTCTACTCTGTGCAATAGGTCAGGAGGTTAATTATAAGGGTGGCCCAGTGGTTAAAGTTCAGAGTACCAAGATTGGCGCAGAGAGGCGCGGGTTCGATCCCAGCTCTGTGCGACAGTTTCTGGTCAGAATCGGCAAGGAGGCCGGGCGGTTAAGCACAGCAGAATAATTATTGTAGCAGTGAGTTGCGAGTTCGAGACCGCAACAAGCTGTGCATGTTCTGCAATGTCAGGAATCGGCGACAGGCCTACGGCCTAATAAACACTGAAACCGCTATATTATTATTATATTATAAAGGTAGTTATGGAGGTCTTGGCGGTAGTGTTTGTGCGGTATTGCTAGGAAACTGAGTGGCCAGAAAAAGAAAGGAGAATATACATATATAGACTACGTGGCCCAGTGTTTGAAGTTCAGAGTACCAGGGTTAGATACGTGAGTCGTAGGTGCGACCGTACAGCTTCTTGTGACAGTTCTGGTCAAGATAAGTGAAGTGGCCAGGCAGTTAAGCACCGTGAATATTTGGAGTAGTGAGTTGCGCGTTCGAGACCCGCAAAAAGCTGTGAAATATTTTTTGACGTTCTGAATCGGCGACAGGCGTAATGGCCTAATATTCAATGCTGTCACTGCTATATTATGAATGGCAGAAGAAGACAAAGGAAGGCGATGGGTGCATATTTCGGTTCCTGATTGGTGCTTGAGGTATGTATAAGGTTAGGGTTGGATGAGAGAGAGGTTGAACCCGTTAGGGCTTTGGAGTGTTTGCTCGATGGAGTGAGGCGTGGGTAGGCAGTTTATTTTTATAGATTTTTTTATTCCATTTACTGATAAATAGTATGATAATGCGTGTCTTAAATATGCATGCGTTTTTTGCTTATTTTGTAGTTACATATTCAATTGATTCCATTCAATTGGGGTAATAATGAACATGAGAGATGGTAACCTACTCTAGATTCGAGTGTTGTGAAGAACATTTGGGTCAGCCTATACTTATGGGGTACTACGTATGGTGTACTACGTATATACGTATGGAGTACATATACTTAGGTCTCTTAAACGTTCTTCATTGTCGATGAGTTCATTTAGTCCGTCAGCGTAATCTGAGCAGTTGCTATTGTACATCCCAAGACCAGCCAGAGCTACTTTGTCGTAAGCGTATTTGAAAGTCTCCAGCGATCCGGTTAAATTAGGTGTTGAAGAAGTTTGGATTATGATGATTGACGAAGATGTTGTAATGTGCATGAAGGTTGTCGAGGCCGAGAAGAAGGATTGGTGCCACTAGCCCTCTGAGACAAGCCGTGATGTTAAGTCATGTTAAATTTGCATGACTCAGCATCGCTCAGCCTGACTCGCTATCGATCATATAATAATTAATGCCTTGACCAAGACTCGCTTCACGAAACAGGTGTCTCTTGAATGACGTCCGATAACTTTAATCATTATCATTTAAGTTTTAACTTGACAAGCTAGAAAATCAAATTCGTGTTGCTCTGATATTCAAGCCAAAAGTTTTTATGTTAAGATCTAGTTGAATGATTTTTCGACCTGATTCATTGGCAGGTGATAAATTTTGCTGTTAATTAATATCATTAGCTGACGTCATGCCGCCCGTGTAACGTGATAAGAATCTTTGCAAAGTGATTTATTATCAGGAATCTTATTAAATTTCGTACTGCAGTTCTGAATTCAATTTTGCACTTGATGCGGCTTTCAGTGAAAATTGATTGTGAGGAAAATGATTGACGATGTTCACGATATTAATTGCAATAATGATGACAATGAATCTTGCTTACGATATTTATATTTAGGTTTAATTTATTTCATCTTCTGTTTATTTTTATTTTTATTCAACTGACATCTTTACAATTAAGGGTTATGTTTTTTAGGCAAATAATCTAAATGATTCTCATGAAGCATAGTTGCCAAAATGTTTCTCATGCTTATGGTGATACTGATGAATCGGTTAACAGGATGCCATTTGATAATAATGATGTAATTTGATCCTAAGGATGTCATGGTTTAAAAAGATTCCAATGACGCAATGGTGAACTGCGATTATATTTGATAAAAGTGTATTACAGGGTCCGCCATATTTATGGCAACGGATGTTTGCAATATAAAATAAATTGGTTTCTAGGAGACTTTTCTTTTATAATGAAGCTTAATATCATCTATTAATTCATCTATTTTATATTGCAGAAGTCTAAGGTGTCTAAATTTACTATTACTTATGGCAGTAGATAGAAATGCAATTGTAATTCTTCATGAAATGAGCGAGAGTAATTCAGTCATTGCAAAAAAGCTCCAAATTCGTCGGGAAACTGTGTGGAAGGGGGAAAAAAAATTCAAGGAAACTGGTGAAACATGCAATCGACCTGGCCAAGGAAGGAAACGAAGTGTCCGAACAAAACAATTTATCAAAAACACAGGGAGAAGTTGAGGAGAAACCCTCGTCGCTCAGCTGCAAAATTGGCTGCAGAAACAGGAGTCAGTCAGACATCAATGCGTAGAGTCCTCAAAGATAACCTCAAAACCTCCCCTTCCAAGATGCAAACAAGGCATGAACTAACAGACCGTCATGAACGAATGAGGCTCGAAAGATTCCTGCACATTCTGGATTTCATTGAGGATGGCACGCTGCCTAACTTGGTGTTCAGTGACGAGAAAAATTTTTTACATTGAACAAAGCGTTAACCGTCAAAATGACAGAGTTTGGAATCGGGATGGATCTGTGGCAACCAGAACAGCAACGCGACGTCAAAATCCCATGTCCGTGATGGTTTGGGCCGCGGTAACCGCCACTGGGAGGTCCCCACTCGTTTTTTTGTCCCCTCAGGAGTAAAATTGAACAGTCAGCGATACATTTCGGACATTTTGGAAGCTGTGTTGTTACCTTGGGCCCGTAAACACATCAACGATTCACCATGGAGTTTTCAACAAGACTCAGCCCCATCATATGGCTCAAACATAGCCCAAAACTGGATTCAGTGTCACATCCCAGCGTTCATTAGCAAAAATGAATGGCCCTCAAGAAGCACTGATTTGAATCCTCTCGACTTTTCTGTATGGGCTATTTTAGAGAGTAGGGTCTACAGAACACCTCATGATTCTTTGGATAGTTTGAAGTCTAAATTGACACGAGAATGGGACTTGATTCCTCAAGTAATGCTGCGTGTCTCCTGTGAAGCTTTCCCGCGTAGATTGGAGGCCGTCATTAAAAATAAGGGTGGTCATATTGAATAAATATGCCTGAGAATTGTTTAGGTAATTCTTGGCTACTAGCTCATCCAATAAAAAACAATGCACCTATTTGTTTCATTGAGAAATAACAAAAAACATGCGTTGCCATATATATGGCGGACCCTGTATGTTGCGGTCAGTACATAAGAAACTCAGATCCCGTCTCAATTATCCAGTGAACTCCAACTTGTTTCTTATATATTCATAAATGACTTGTCATCAAAATTGCGACACTATGAAAAGAAAAGCAAGAACGAAGAAAATTAAACACATATTTGCCTGACCAAAAACATGATTTTGCTGCAGGTTAATTACCCAATTATCGAGCTTGTATGAGATCGTTATGCTACCTACAATATGCTTGCATCCCAATTAAAATGAGAATTTGGCATGAGAACTATAAAAACTAATCGAGAAATATTTACTTGAATTTGCGAGAACCCAGAGTGCTTCCGACACAAAATAGTCTCATGGCTGCTTCACAGTTCAGTGAATCGACTAATTCAAGCTCATCAGATGCATCTGCACGACTTTAGCCAAACTCTCTCAACACTGTTCCAAGTTTCGTTTCAAGGTGCTGAAAGTTTCAGCCAAAGTCTTCAGCTGCAGGGCCACACTGCATGCCAGCAGCAAGAGAACGATCGATGCTCTCGGGTAAGACAGGAAAAAAGTTTAGCATTTCAAGAACTCTTAATTTTTTTTCTCATGAATTTTGCCGCAGTCATGTTAAAGTAAACATGCAAGGTTTTGTCAACAAGCTTGGCGAGATCAACATGTTGCAATAAAAATGTTTACATTAACACGATGACTGCAGATTTTTGACATGAACATTGCGGTATTAACGATATTTAAATATTGACATTAAATTTGAGATATTAACATGGGAATTTTAACATTAAATCAAAAAGACAATATTTAAATGTTGACATTAAAATGATGGCGTCAATAAACTTTAAAGTATTAATGATTGAGTGGAATTCGATCACGCGCAAAATGATAAATTTAAAGTGAAAATACGTTGCTGTCACG